AGCTCAGAAAGTTTAAATAGCATGTCCAGTTCTTCTGAATTCAAACCATACTGCCTCTTTGCCATCTAATATGCTATCCCTAAGTAAGCACCAGTTCTATTTTGATCAGAGATTATTAACCTGGACCCCATGGTGAGGGATGGGGGGTGGAGGGTGCAATGACTCTCAAAGCAAGGAGTTCATAAACTTCTTTGGGAAAGGGTTTCAACTTTATTTTAATCATTTCTAATTAAAATTTAGCCTTTCCTTCCATTACAAATATGAGCAACAACTGCACCTGTAACTTTCTCTCCAGTGAAAACCATGGAAATTTTCATTTACGAGCTATTGTTGCAAATGTCTCAAAATATTGTTTACACTCATCAGGAAGACTATGATTGTTATTAGGTTTGTCATAGAATGCATTAACAATAAGCACATCTATTAATACACTGCCAATGTAATATTCTAATAACTCTAATTCACTACCACTGACTTTCTTTGTTTTTTTTTTGTTTGTTTGTTTGTTTGTTTGTTTTTTTACTGTTTACAATATGTTTATTTTTTTTTTTTTCCATTGTTGAAAATAGTTCATTTTTTTTTTTTTTTTTTTACATGTATTCCCCATCCCGGTCCCCCCTCCCACCTCCCTCTCCACCCAATCCCTCTGGGTCTTCCCAGTGCACCAGGCCCGAGCACTTGTCTCATGCACCCAACCTGGGCTGGTGAACTGTTTCACCCTAGATAATATACGTGTTTCAATGCTGTTCTCTTGAAACATCCCACCCTCGCCTTCTCCCAGAGTCCACAAGTCTGTTCTATACATAGGAGTCTCTTTTTCTGTTTTGCACATAGGGTTATCGTTACTATCTTTCTAAATTCCATATATATGTGTTAGTATACTGTAATGGTCTTTATCTTTCTGGCTTACTTCGCTCTGTATAATGGGCTCCAGTTTCATCCATCTCATTAGAACTGATTCAAATGAATTCTTTTTAATGGCTGAGTAATATTCCATGGTGTATATGTACCACAGCTTCCTCATCCATTCATCTGCTGATGGGCATCTAGGTTGCTTCCATGTCCTGGCTATTATAAACAGTGCTGCGATGAACATTGGGGTACACGTGTCTCTTTCAGATCTGGTTTCCTCGGTGTGTATGCCCAGAAGTGGGATTGCTGGGTCATATGGCAGTTCTATTTCCAGCTTTTTAAGAAATCTCCACACTGTTTTCCATAGTGGCTGTACTAATTTGCATTCCCACCAACAGTGTAAGAGGGTTCCCTTTTCTCCACACCCTCTCCAGCATTTATTGCTTGTAGACTTTTGGATAGCAGCCATCCTGACTGGTGTGTAATGGTACCTCATTGTGGTTTTGATTTGCATTTCTCTGATAATGAGTGATGTTGAGCATCTTTTCATGTGTTTGTTAGCCATCTGTATGTCTTCCTTGGAGAAATGTCTGTTCAGTTCTTTGGCCCATTTTTTGATTGGGTCATTTATTTTTCTGGAGTTGAGCTGGAGGAGTTGCTTGTATATTTTTGAGATTAATCCTTTGTCTGTTGCTTCGTTTGCTATTATTTTCTCCCAATCTGAGGGCTGTCTTTTCACCTTGCTTATAGTTTCCTTTGTTGTGCAAAAGCTTTTAAGTTTCATTAGGTCCCATTTGTTTATTTTTGCTTTTATTTCTAAAATTCTGGGATGTGGGTCATAGAGGATCCTGCTGTGATTTATGTCGGAGAGTGTTTTGCCTATGTTCTCCTCTAGGAGTTTTATAGTTTCTGGTCTTACATTTAGATCTTTAATCCATCTTGAGTTTATTTTTGTGTATGGTGTTAGAAAGTGTTCTAGTTTCATTCTTTTACAGGTGGTTGACCAGTTTTCCCAGCACCACTTGTTAAAGAGGTTGTCTTTTTTCCATTGTATATCCTTGCCTCCTTTGTACTGACTTTCTTTGTAATCCTAGGTATTTAATGCATTTTAAAACATTCTGAGAAAGGACCCATAGATTTCTCATGATTGCCAAAGGGGTTTATGGTCACGTTCACACACATGCATGCACACACACACACAGAGTTCCTGATCTAAAGGATGCAGCACATGGTCATGAATTGCATGTTCACCTTGTTCCTGTTTATCATATTGTATCATATATATTTATATACCTTTCCTTCCCTGGTAGCCTGTGAGTCCTCACGAAGCAGGAATGGTACCTTATATTCCTTGGCTCCTCAGTGCCTAGAACAGGGCTCAGCATTTGTTGAGCTATCATTTATAGAGTATCTATTTTGTGTAAGGCTCAAGTCCCATTGGGTGGGGTAGAAGAATGGAGTGATTCAAAGGAGAGCAAAAATTCATTCACATGCTTGTTTGAGCATTCATTCATTTGTTCGTTTAGAGAACTGTCCAGTGGTACTCAATGCCAGCCACTGGGGTAGGCTCTGGGGACAACAGGAAAAATGAAACCCAACTCCTTATTCTCATGGAGCACCCATTCCATCTGATGGAGAGGAGAGAAAACAAGATTTCTGAAGAGAGAGAGTGGGAATGACCCCATTTGTTCTGGGGTCATAGTCATGGGGAAACTCTAGTTCTTACACTTACATTCATCAGTTGTTTCTGGACAAATGGTGACTGGGAGAGTCCCCACAGAGGTAGAAAAGGTAGACAACAATGCCTGTTCTAAGAGGACAAGCCTGTGGGGGCGGCGTGAGGACAGTTTACCTTGTGTGGTTGCTGGTCCTGCCTAGTAAACTGCGAGAAGTTAGCCCTCCATTGCCCCGGGTGTTTCTGGGGCTGGCCGGTCCAAAGATGGCAAAAAGGGTATCTGCCCTCTCTGCAGTTCCGTTTTGGTTCAAGGATTCTATGATGCTATCAGTAGCCAGAATGTTGCCTAGATACCTTGGGGCTTCTCTTTCTTGCAAGAAACCAACCCGAGAGACAAGTAGGCCAGGTGACTTTCAAACCTGCCAAACATGTGCTGAAAGACTAGGTGGTAGGAGAAGGTGGTGGTACAGATCCCTGAATCTCTGGGCCAGGTCATCCATCCAGGCAGGATGGCAAAGGGAGAGACCCCAGCAGAATCAGGAGAGAAAGGGACTTGGAGCTGGGGGTATCTTAGGAATAGCAGAACTGGGGAAAGGATAATAAGGACAACAAGGTCTGGGGCTAACTAAGCAAAATCTGTTAAGGTGAAACATTTCCCCAAAGAGGCATAACCTCAAAATGCAAAAAGATAATTTTAACAAACCCACACAACATCCTTGAAGAGAGGTATAATGCCAATGCAAAAAAAAAAAGTTCATTTTCGTAAATCTAAAACCTGTCCACAACAGTATCTCCATACCTATTTCATAAATGTGTGAAAAAATATTTCCTGGGGAACTCCCTCATCTGTCCCCAAGCCTCAGCTGAACTCTCTCTTACCCTCCCTCCATCCTCCTCCGTTCTATCTGTTTGAATGTCCTGCTTTAGCAAATGGAGACAATTAGCACCATTAAGTACATGAAATAAATCAACCTGCATGGTCTGGAATATCAAATATCATTCTATTTAGTTTGTTACCCATGATAATGGCTTACACTTATTCTAAGAAAAATTTCTTGGAAGACTTTATTTCAATCATGCCTCTATCTAGGAAATATTAAATAGGAATGGCACAGTGCTGGGTTCACCAGGCCAGAACAAAAATGTATCTAACAAAGCACTTAAAATCTACCAGGCCTGAAAAGAAATGTGTACAGATAACTCTGTGATAAGGTAGAAGGTTACAGGTGGTTTAGAGGATGAGAGCAGGGAACTAAATGAATAGAAAGAAAAAGAGAAAGGACATCCAGTGGGAAAAAGGTCAAGGACAGACCAATTCCTCTTAGTTCTGGAGGATAGAATAGACAGATGGAGCATGTAGGAGGGGCCGAGTCCCAGAGAGGTAGGGGTCAGTTTGGAAGATGAAAGTTTTTCTGGTCAACTCCTGCTGTTCCAAAGCAAGAGATGTAGGATCATGTGGTAAATGCCCTGGTCACAGGAAGTATTCATTCAAATCAAATTCAGATAATTTGTTGAAGATATTATAGAAAATAGTCCATATATTTTCTCCTTGTTGGTAAGAGGTTTACTCTCTAGTTTAAACCACAACTTCTGACTCTATGTGTCTCTTCTTCCACCAACAGAGCATCGAGTTCCCAAGGGATGAAATCATTTCATTCCCAGATGAAATATTAAAACTTCATTCAAAGATTCTTGGGAAATCAAATATTTTTTTATTTACTGGATTTCATATACCTGATATTCTTTATAAAGCTATCATTAGCAGTGGCACAAACCACCTGTAAAATGATTAACATGTGCCCCGAAGAGCATCCTCCCTGTCACTCACGTGTATTGAGAAACAAATCCTACAGAGCGCTGATATAACTCACTTTAAGCATGAAGAGTTTCCTCTGGGATCCCTGGCAATCAACGTTTCTTCCTGGGGCTGAATACTCCAAAGTTTTTGTTCTTACTTCATGCTTGAAGTCAACATGACAAGTTGGATTAGATCTCCAGGTGATTATCCCTCTGAAATGTGCATTCCCAGTAGATGGCCCAATCTGCTACAAGCCATGACTGAAGCACTCCCATAAGGAATTCAGCCAGCCAGGCCACCTGGGCAGATTGTGTGTTTGCTTCCAAGTCCAGCAGTCACAGGACCCTAAGCCACAGATAATTAACAGCTCAGCTCTCAATTGAGAAATTTGCTGAAACGGAATCTCTCGGGACCAGTGCTTTGGTTTTACAAGTTGGCCCATCTTTGGTACAAAGATGGCAAATAGAGAGTCATTTAATGCCGTTGAAAGCCAGTAACAAAATTCTAAGAGTACCCAAGAACCTGGGGTTCTCTTTTGGCCATCCAGAAGGTGAAGCCAGCCAGAAGCTTGCATGTTGGTCTCGACATCTGCCAGAGGAAAGGCTGGTCAGTAGCCAAAGAACACCAGGCCCAACCCCAGGGGCTTCCTAGTGCTCCCTTTGTGCCTGCTGTAGCCTCTTGGCCACAGCAGTGATCAGAGCTGCTCCCTTTCCACTCCCATCTTCTGACAGCATGAACATCACATCACATTGAGGAGCCAGTTCTTTCACAGTTTCCTGCAGTATCCGAGAAAAGCTATAGAAAAAGAGAAAGGGAAAACATCATTGGCACTTAGTTGTAGCATGTATCAGTAGCTCATGCCTTTTTATGAGTAATGTTCCACTGTACAGATGTGCCACATTTTGTTTATCCATTCATCAGTTGATGGTGAGACTGTAAACTTGCATAGCCATTATAGAAAACAGTATGGAGGGTCTTCAAAAATTTAAAAGTAGAACCAGCACATGACCCACTAATTCCACTTCTGGATATTCAACCAAAGAAAACAAAACACTAAATAGAAAAGATACATGTATTCCTATGGTCATTGCAGCATTATTTACAACAGCCAAAATATGGAAGCAACCCAACTGTCCATCAATAGCTGAATGGATAAAGAAATATGATACATACACACACATATACACACAATGGTATATTAGTTATAAAAAGGATGAAATCTTGCCATTTGCAAAAAGATGAAAGGATCTAGAGGGAATTATGCTAAGTGAAGTAAGTCAAACAAAGAAAGACATACAGCATGATTTCACTTATATGTGAAAAAACAAAACAAACAGAGTTACAGATACAGAGAACAAACCACTGGTGGTCGTCAGAAGGGAGGGGACTAGAGGATCAGGCAAAACAGGTAAAGGGGATTAAGAGGTACAAACTTTCAGTTATGAAATAAGTAAGTCAGTGGGATATAATATACAGCATAGAAAATATAGCCAATAATATTGCAGTAACTTTAGACAGTGACAGATGGTTACTAGACTTACGGTGGTGATCAATTTGCAATGTATATAAATATCAAATAATTATGTTGTATACCTAAAGCTAATATAATATTGCATGTCAACTATACTTCAGTTAGACAAAAAGATGGTAAATTGTTCCCTTAACAACCTTAAGCCTTTCAACCCACTAGTATAGGATATTTTTCCAATTATTTAGGTCTTTCTTAATTTCAACAATGTTTTGTAGTTTTCAGTGTACAAATCTTATACCTCTTTTGTTAATTTATTGTTAAGTATTTTATTCTTTTTGATGCTATTTCAATGGAATTGTTTTCTTAATTTCATTTTCAGATTATTCATTGTTAATGCATAGAAATGCAGTTGATTTTTGTATACTGATCTTACATCCTGAAACTTGACTGAATTTGTTTCTTAGTTCCAATAGTTTTTCGTGGATTCCTTAGGATTTCTATATACAAAATCATGTCATCTGCAAACAAAGATAGTTGTAGTTTTGCTTTTCCAATATAGATGCCTTTTAGTTCTTTTTCTTGCCTAACTGCCTGTCTAGACTTACACTTGATTCTCCCTTTGAGGTCACATAATTTTTTGACCTGGATCCTATAAGCCTCTCCCTTATTTAAAGACTTGACTGAGAGACAAAAACCACACAATCATCTGTAGGCAGTGTTAGAAACAGTACAATGTTGAAGAACAGTGGCAAGAGTGGACATCCTTGTCTTGTTCCTAACTTTAAGGTGAAATAATCCATCCAGTGCTTCCCAGTAAGCATGGCATCAACTGTGGGTTTTTCACAGATGCTTTTATCAGGTTGAAGGAGTTCCTTTATTCTTAGTTTGTTGAGTGCTCTTATCATAAAAGGTGCTCAGTTCACTTGCTCAGTTGTGTCCAACTCTTTGCGACCCCATGGACTGCAGCAAGCCAGGCTTCCCTGTCCATCACTAACTCCCGGAGTTTACTCAAACTTATGTCCATTGAGTCAGTGATGCCATCCAACTATCTCATCCTCTGCCATCCCCTTATCTTTCTGCCCTCAATCTTTCCCAGCATCAGGGTCTTTTCAAATGAGTCAGCTCTTCACATCAGGTGGCCAAAGTACTGGAGTTTCAGCTTTAGCATCAGTCCTTCCAATGAACACCCAGGACTGATCTCCTTTAGGATGGACTGGTTGGATCGCCTTGCAGTCCAAGGGACTCACAAGAGTCTTATCCAACACCATAGTTCAAAAGCATCAATTCTTCAGCACTCAGCTTTCTTAATAGTCCAACTCTCACATCTATATATGACCACTGGGAAAACCATAGCTTTGACTAGACAGACCTTTGTTGGCAAAGTAATGTCTCTGCTTTATAATATGATGTCTAAGTTGGTCATAACTTTTCTTCCAAGGAGCAAATGTCTTTTAATTTCATGGCTGCAGTCACCATCTGCAGTGATTTTGGAGCCCCAAAAAATAAAGTCTCTCACTGTTTCCACTGTTTCCCCATCTATTTGCCATTAAGTGATGGGACCAGATGCCATGATCTTAGTTTTCTGAATATTGAGCTTTAAGCCAACTTTTTCACTCTCCTCTTTCACTTTCATCAAGAGGTTCTTTAGTTCTTCTTTGCTTTCTGCCATAAGTGTGGTGTCATCTGCATATCTGAGGTTACTGATATTTCTCCCAGCAATCTTGATTCCAACTGGTGCTTCTTCCAGCCCAGCATTTCTCATGATGTACTCTGCATATGAGTCAAATAAGCAGGGTGACAATATACAGCCTTGACATACTCCTTTTCCTATTTGGAACCAGTCTGTTGTGCTAGATTTTATCAAAAGTTTTATCTGCACCTATTGAAATGATTATATGGTTTTTGTCCTTTGGTCAGGTGTTGGTTCAAAGGAAGAGGCTTGCAGGAATCACAGCAAAAATCTGTGACTTCAAGGGAAGAATCAAGAAAAGAAATCAGTCAGTTATCCTGGATTAGTCAGCATCATAGGAAGGGCTAAGCATCAAGGACTACAGTAATAATATGTTTATCTATATATTTCAGCATGATTAGAAATTTTTGCAAGCTGGCTAAAACCTTTCTTCATCTACCAAGGTAAAAGGTGAAACATTAAATAAAAATAAAAGCTGCCATCATTGCCATCTTTGTAATATGTCACATAGTCTACAGACACTAACTGAATTCTCCTGACAACCTATGAGGTAGGTATGATTTTTATCATCCTTTTACAGATAAAGAACTAGGGTCAAAGAGGTTAAGAAACTGGCCTTGGGCCTCCCAGCTTCTAAGCAGTGGAGCCAGGATTCAAATTCACTCTTCATCCTTCTGCCTGCTGATTCTGAGCTCATACTTGACACACTCTCTGTGATGTGCAAACTACTCAGTTCTCATTGCTCCCTGTGAGGTCAGTTTGGACTGTGTTAATGATAACCACCTGTATTTACTGCATGTGTGCTAAGGTGCTTCAGTCATGTCTGACTATTTGTGACGCTATGGACTGCAGCCTGCCAGGCTCCTCCGTCCATGGGATTCTCCAGGCAAGAATACTGGAGTTGGCAAGAATACTGTTGCCGTGCCCTCCTCCAGGGATCTTTCTGACCCACAAATCGAACCCATGTCTCTTCTGTCTCCTGCATTGGCAGGCGGGTTCCACTAGCACCACCCGAGGACTGTGTAAAACACTTTACATGTATGAACTCACCCAGTCCTCATGCAGGCCCCTGATGCAGAGATTATTTCTGCCTGCCTGATACAGATGAGGAGCCTGGAGTTTGGGAAGGGTGGTGAACACTCCCACATCACAGCACTAGGAAGCAGAGCCACTTTGTCTGTCAGCCCCAAAGGGGTCCACATTCAGCCTCAGCCCCCAGCCCCGAGTCTCTGGAGCACTCACTGTGGGTGCAGCTTGTACAGGGTGCCGTCCACACCCACGGTGATCCTCACGTGCTCAAGTCCCTGGTCTTCCCTCCTCTTCTCCACGATGGCAGCCAGGCCAGCACCATAAAGCTGGGCCGCCCGCCGGGACACAGCACCGCACACCTCCTTCACCACGATGCTGTCCTCACACGTGCTGTCCAGGCCGAGCTGCTGCAGGATCCTCCTGACCTGGAGGAGGGCCAGCCGGTCGCTGCCAGCAAGCAGAGCAGGATGTCAAGACCTATTGCTAGAGCCCTGGAACCTGCTCCCCAGGACTCACAGCCCCCCATCCCTAGGTGCCTGAGCGGGAGAAGAAATGGTCCCAGCAGAGGCAAGGTTGGAGCAGGATGCCTTAGAAGCTGAGATTCTAGAAAGTCTGTCACCCCCAGAAAGTCCCATCATCTTTAAAGAAAGTATGAGTACATCATCTTTTCAGAATCAAAAGAGGATCATTTTTTATTATTTATTTGGCTGCACCAGGTTTTAGTTGCAGCATGTGGGATCTATTTTCCTGACCAGGGATGGAACCCAGGCTCCTTGCATTGGAAGCACAGAGGCTTAGCCACCAGGCCACCAGAGAAGTCCCAGAAGAGGATCATTTTTTTAACCTAACCTAACTCTTCTGTAACCATTTAGGAATCTAGGGGCCCAGACAAGCTTCTGGCTCTTCAGCTGGGTGCTTAGTACTGATGTAGCTGGAGAGTGGGAGCAGCCCCAGGAGTCAACCCTCGGCCCAGCCAGGCCCTTACTCTCTATTTTTAAATTTCAAATCTGCTGGAGCCTGGTGATACAGCAGCATGTCCCAATATAGGACCTTTTACATCAAGCAGGTGAAATTGACCACGAGTCACCTTTCAATCTGAGACAAGAACTTGGTTTCAAAGATGCCCCTGGTCCGGAGACGTTCTGAAATCTGGCCGCGGAAGAGGAGACCCTGCTTGGTCAAGTCGATCAGGATCTGCCGCACAATCTCCCCCAGGTACATCCCACTGGTCATTTTCTCGTATCTGTTGAGAGAAGGAGAGACAAGGTTGGTGAGAGCAGGAAAATCAGTGCTGGTGAGTGGTTCCCAAGAGGATCACACGTCAGACCATGGAAGGCGTGCCACTGGTATCCACTAGCTGCCTGGGTCACAGTGGGGTGGAGTGGGCAGCAGGCCCAGAGAAGTGCATGCAACAGACAGTATGATGTGGGAAGGCCAGGCTTTGGAGACATGTTGCGCAGAAGTCAAGTTCCAGCTCTGCCACACATTAGCTGCATGACCTGAGTAAGGACTATAAGCCATCATCTATGAAACAGGGAGCAAATCACTGACCCCACAAGGCTGTTGGGAGCCACGCATCTAGCGCACGGTAGACCTGAAGCTAAAATAAGTCCCTTTTCTGGCCCCAAAGCTAGTTTACCTTGGCTTTGTATTTGAAGAAATCTCCACCAGAGCTTCTGCTCCATGAGATAACACATTTGAACTGTATACACACACCATGCATGGTTCAAAATGTTAGCTCCCTTCCCTCTTCCTACCAGGCTGTGAGCGCCACGATGGAAGGGGCAAGAGAAAAAGAAGCTCTACAATCAGCAGGCACCGACCAGGCACTCTGCCCAGGTATGTGTGACAGCATTAATAACAATGAGGTGCAGCTGGACTCCCACTGCCTGCAGGGTCAAATGAAAATCCGAGTGTGCCTGAGACTTACATGCTGGACTTGTGTCTCTTAACTGCTCAGGATTTCATCAGTCTAAGGAACCAACACTTAGACAAACAATGGGGACAGCAAAGTAAATCCAAGTATGTTGCCTCCTAACACTCTCCACTCCAGAAATGAGAACCTCCAAAGGATTCAGACACAAAACTTGGATGCCCCAACTTGGGATTCAGGTCCCTTGTGATTTTGGCCTCTGGTTCAGCTGGGCTTATGGTAACTCACCCACCTCCCAGCTACAAAGATTAGTGCCAAAGGAAGATGTGGGACCAACAGGGCTGGTCTTGGTCTTGTCAAGCCTCTTCCTACTGAGTGTTCTCAGTTGAATCGTCAGCAAGGCGTCTGAGACCCAGGCATCCCATCCCATTTCCTAGCTCAACTTTTCCACTTGGATACTTTCTCACAGTAAATCTATATCTTCATCTTATTTTATATAGAAAGACACTGAGCTTAGTCGTGACAAAGACCACATGGTCTGAGAGTAAAACATTTACTCTCTGATCCTTTACAGAAAAAGCATGCCAACCCCTACAGAAATAGACGGGCCCAGGCTAATAATCAGTTCCCCCCACGCTAGCTCTACCCCTTTCTCTCCGACTAAAGAAGCTGTATGAGAATGCAAATGAAAATGTATTCTGTTTTCTGTTTATTTTTTTAACCATTCATTGTTGTCAGTATTTTTAGTATGGTTAGCAATTGGAATAACCCTTACAAGTGATTGTGACCCATGCTGGGACATGATGTCATGACTGAGAACCAGGATTCCCATCCTTCACTTGCAGTTACTTCCCCAACCCCAGAACCACAAAGGTCAGCAACCTGGCAGCCTGCTCTTGAAGGACTGAGGATGTCGACCTCTAAACAGGACTTACTAGAAACCCATCTTGAGAGGCCCACCATGCCCTTGCCGTGTGACATCAAGGCCACAGTGAATAGACTTCCTGACAACCTTGGCCTCATTTCCAAAGCCACCTCTAGACCTTATGGTAACTTTATGGTAATTAGAAAAAGGCACACTTTCTGTTTGTTGGAAACTTATCATAACATCTTGCTGCTTCTGTGTCCATGCTCTAGTTGTGTCACACTCTTTGTGACCCCAGGGGCTGTAAACTGTCAGGTTCCTCTGTCCATGGGATTTCCCAGGCAAGAATACTGGAGTGGGTTGCCATTTCCTTCTCTAGGGAATCTTCCTGACCCAGGGATAGAACCTGTGTCTCTTGCGTCTCTTGCATAGCACGAGGATTCTTTACCACTGGGCCACCTTTGCTTTTGTTCAAATTAGACACTTCACTGACATCTGATGAAGAGTTGTCATAAATATACAAACTATACACATATCTGTAATATGAAAAGGGCACCCCCATAGATGTGCTGAAGTTGGACGACCTACAGAAATGTACACACACCCCCTTCTCACCTCTGTTTACCAGGATTCAAGGACCCCTCATCCACCTCCTTGTCATATTGGGTCTGGATATCATCTAGGCAGCCATTATCTCCAAATCCTCCCCACTCGGTATTAATGCACATCTTCCCTTCATCCCCTTCCACCAGTTCAATGTTTCTCATTTCCTCCATGTAGCACATGTTGCTGCCTGTTCCTAGAAGGAATCATGAAGGGACTTTAGTCTTCAGAAGACACCACTAGGTCTTACAGAGCCAGCAGGGTGCAGTAGATAGGAGTTTAGGTTTGGAGTCAGATACAACTGGGTGTGGACTTCAGCTTTATACTTATAGTTGGGTGACTACAGGCAAGTATTTCATCTTTCATAGATCCAATTTCTTCATCTGTAAAAAGGAACTAACACCTGTCTTCTAGATTTGTTATCAAGAAAAAAATGAGATGATATCTGTAAGTTTCCTCCACATAGAATTCGTACCTGTGATACCATTTCCTCCTCCTCACCCTCCTCGTTATTGATAAGCCATAGGCACACAGAGTGAGCTCCAAGTAGTCACAGAGTTAGCAGAGCTGGCAGGGACCATGAGGAACCATCTAGTCTTGGATAAGCAGACACTTGGTATCTGAACACCACCCTCTTCTCCTTTGTCCGTGACCTGGTCTCAGAACTATTCTCAAGACAACAGTCCAGGCGATTATCATCTTCAGTCAAACAAATCTCACCTCTTTGACCTCCCAGATCTAGCCCAACCCTTCCCATGGATGAGGAAGCTCAAGTCCAGACAGAATAAGTAACCTGCCCAAGGTCACAAAGCAGGTGAGGTTTAGAGTGAGATGAAACCTCTCCTTGGCACTGAAGACATCTCAATATATCCCCATCTCTGTGTGCTATGTACTACTTACCCTCAGGAAACCCAGACATCCAGCTGGAACAACTTTCTCAGATTCTGGGATTATTTAACCAGTGTCTGTCACTTGGAATGCCCACCGCCCCTGTCTCCACCTGTTCAAATGCACCTGTCCCCTCCCCACTTACAGTCATCCCTCTGGAATCTACCCTTGCCTTAATCACTGCCATGCTTTTCCAGAAGACTCCTAAAATGCCCATGTCATACCTGGGGCCACTCCCTGCTCCTCTCCTAGGTTTCTTTCCAACTCTTCCCCGTCCTGTGCACCTTCTCACAGCCAGAAGAGGTCAGAGAACGGAGGAGGTACAAACTGGAGCTGGAATGAAATCTAGCTCTCTCAGCTCCAGGCCAACCAACATGATCCAACTGTGGTCTCCCTCCACCCAGTAAAATCTGCCCCAAGGCCCAAATGTGAAAGTTCCCTCTTTCCAAGTTATTCTTCCTCCTCAACAGAAAGGACAATCTTGGCTTAGAACCCTTAGGGAAAAAAATATTAAGTAAAGACTTGGAAATTAGGAGACCTGAAATCCCAATGTTAACTTCATCTCAGCCATGGACAAAGCTGGCTTCAGAGCCCCTATGTAAAGGAACAATGGCTCCCTGCCCCTCAGTATGTTAAAAGGTAACTTCCAAAAGATCAGATGGGAGCAGGCCAATGGGACACGCCTGATCACTCACCTGCAATCAGGCCAACCTCACAATTACGATCTTCATAGCCACAGGTCATCATGGTCCCCACTGTGTCATTCACAACTGCAACAATGTCCAGGTCAAATTCCTGCAAAGGAAGAGAGCTCTACTGTAAGTAGGACGGGCAGGCCAAACAGTCTCAAGAGGGGCACATCAGACTGAGGTGGGCAGAGGCCAGAGTCGCAGGGCTGGTGTCTGATGACACAGCACAGGGGCCTTGGGGAAGGGACAAGGTCAGGTATGAGCTTCAACACCATGTCATACATTTCTCCTCTTGATGGCCTCCCTGAGCATATCCACCACATCTTCCCCTTCACAGTCAGTAGCTTTGAAGCCTTTGGTCCACTCAATGAGTGTTCCCTGAAAGAAAGGAAGGCAAATTCACTTGAGCAATAGTTTGCTGGAACCACTGCACAATCTCAGCATCAAATAGATGCAGGGGACTACAGCTAACTGCTGGCCAAATGCTTTTCACTGTGCTTCCATCTGGATCCCTAACACTGGACCCACAGGCACCATGAAGCATGATGCTCAGCCAAGGTCTACTGCTGGGTGGAATAATTGCAGAAATTTACATCAACTCACGTTCCCTGGCCATGACTGCACAGAACAAAGACCACTTCTGATTTATCCAATCAATCACATCTTCATGATCAAAGAGCTACAAAATGTTCGTCAAAGCATGGTTTTACAGGGAAAATGGGTGGTTAAGGCAGCAAAGAATCTGCCTGCAATGTGAGAGATGTGGGTTTGATCCCTGGGTTGGGAGAATCCCCTGGAGAAGGAAATGACTACCCACTCCAGTATTCTTGCCTGGAAAATTCCATGGACAGAGGAGCCCAGTGGACTACAGTTCATGGGGTCGCAAAGAGTCAGACACAATTGAGTAAATAACACACACACACACACACACACACACATTCTGTTTTTCCAACAATATGGATCTATCATTGTATATCAATATAGGAAATGCTCTAGAGCCAGAGAAACATAAAACTTTAAGAGAATGTTAGCTGTTAGAGGAAGATGTTTACCACACACTGTTAGGTGAACTCACATTAAACAAATACAGATGGTGAACTATTCTATTATTCTTTTAAAAACCACACACACACACACACACACACACTCAAATCTGGAAACAGGTCTGGAACAATGCATACACCAGAGGGTTGACAGTGGTTCTCTTTAGATGTAAGATTACAGGTACCTTTTGGTCTCTCCTTTTTGCTTGTCCATATTTTCTAATTTTCCTAAAATCAATATGTCTAACTTTTTATAATACCAAGAAGAAGTATATCTAATTTTTAAGAAGATGGTTACACTGTTGGCCAGAAGCAAGAGGTATCTAGCCTCAAACTCCATAGCCTAGAGCTGGAGGTGGGTGAGTGCAGGGAAAGCTGGGGTGTCTAGACCAGGAGAGTGGCTGGGATAGGAGAGATGGCCAGAAACTCTAATGGCAGCACCCGAACCCCAGGGCATGAACGGCCACCTCACCCTGAGGCCCTCAGCTCCGGGCTCCCCCCTTCTCTCCACAGTCCTTGGGAAGCTGGGCTTCCTTGCTCCTTTCCTGGTGAATATATGTAGAGCCTTAGAGATTCAACCCCAGTTGAAAAATCTTTCTAATTAGTTGCAATTATACCAAATCATATTTTTTTAAAGTCTCTCTTTTTTTAAAAACTACTGGTTACCAAAATGAAGAGGGGTGAGGAGAGGGGCAAAATAGGTAAAAAGGATTTAAAGATATAAATTACTAGGTATAAAATAAATAAGTTACAAGGATGCAATGTATGGCAAGAGAATATAGTCAGTATTTTACAATAATTTTGTATAGAGTACAACCTATAAAAATATCAAACCATTATGTTATATACCTGAAACTAATATAGTATTGTAAATCAACTACATTTCAATTATTTTTAAAGAAAGTTGTTTTTTTTTTCTCCTCAGCCATTGGTGTCTTTGCTCCAAGCTCTCCATTGGTCTCCCTTCCTTCTTAGTTATGTCTTCATGAACCTGTCAGAACTGCTGGGAGGGAGGCCTGGAGGCCCAGTGGCCCAAGTCAGGAGGAGCAGCTGTGTACTGGTGCCTGCGGACCACTCAGGACCATGGACAGCTGCACGTGGCTTTCCCCTCTCCACCCCCAACTTCCATTTCCATGTGTATTAATTTTTAACGGCAGCAGTAATACAAGAATGCATTACCTTTGTAAAAACTCAGTGCTATTGATAACAACAAAGTCTCCTTTAACTCCCCATCCCCCTAAATGTGGGAGGTAACCTCTATTATCAGCCCAATAATGAATCCTTACAGATTTTCTTCTCTCTCTATTTATGTGTGCTTTCAAATTCACACTGTGTGTGGACTACTGCAATTTGTTTTAACTGTAGCCCACCAGGCTCCTCTGTCCATGGCATTTCCCAGGTAAGAATACTGGAGTGGGTGGCCATTTCCTTCTCCAGGGATCTTCCCGACCCAGGGATCGAAACCACGTCTCCTGTGTCTCCTGCATTGTCAGGCAGATTCTTTCCTCTGAGCCACTGATGAAGCCCTTGTTTTTCTCACTCAGTAATATATCTTTCATACCATTGCTGGTCAGTTAACATGGAAAATACTCCTCAAGTATAACTGCACAGAAATTTTAAAATCCACAAAACATACCTATGAGTACTATTTTAATCCCTATTTTTCAAGTAAAGAAGTAAAAGGTGCAGAGAGGTTAAGTAATTCACCCATGGTCATACAGCCAGTAAGTGTGGAGAAGCCAAGATGCAAATTGAGGCAATCTGGTTCCAGACCCATGCTCTCAAACCATTGCACTCTGCTGGCCTCCTGACTGGGTAGGTAATGTCTGTGAAGCATTTAGTACAGCACCAGGCACCAAACAAGCACTATGTATGTGTTTGCTAAATAAAAATCCAGTAATCTCATGTGAGTGATATACTATATTTAGTCATTTTTCATTTTAGGGGAAATGAAAATTTATGTCCATTTTTTATTTGTCATTTTCCATTCCCAGGCATTTGGGTTATTTCTAATTTTTCATTATTAAAAAGTGATGGTTTAGTGAACATCCTTGTTCATTAATCTTGAGAAATGGATCTTATGGCTCTTAGCATTCTAGCATTTTTAATTTTGAGAGATCTAGCCATATTACCAGATAATTCCACCTTCTGAGCTCCTCTTCCTGTTCTCTGAATGATTAGGAGTGAGAGGTAAGCCTGGTGAGTGGGTTTTCATGGCATTCTCAGAACCCTGGAGAGTTCTGTTTCAGTTCTGGTTTTGCAACTGCTGTTTGGATGAGACTGTATGCCTCAATTTCCTCATATGAATAACAGGATAGGAAATAAAATGCACAGAACAAGGGTAGGTACTATTTCTTGATTTTTTGGTCTTAATTACATATATATATATATATATATATATATATATATATATATATATATGTAAGTATACTGGGCATTATAGCTGAAATGGTCCAAAAACACTGGGTTCCAGGTCCTGAGGGCAAAGTGCAAGAACCTGGGCTCTCAGGTCGGTGTCCTGGACTGACCCCTCCACCACTGTTTATAGACATGGTAACCTGGACAACTTAACTTCTCTGTGCCTCTGCTTTTCTTAACTACAAAATGGCGATTAAAAATAGCATGTAAACATACAATAAAATATCATTCAGCTTTAAAAAGGAATGGAATTCTATGTGAATCACCCTTGAGAACATTATGCTAAATGAAATAAGCCAGTCACAAAATGACAAATACTGTTATGATTCTACTTAGATGAGGTACCTAAGATAGTCAAATTCATAGAAACAGAAAGCAAAATAAAGGCTGTCAGGGGCTAGGAGAAGGGCAAATGGAGAGAGATTGTTTAATGAGTATAGAGTTTCAGTTTGGGAAGATGAAAGACTTCAGAAGATGGATAATGGTGATAGTTCACAATGATGTGATGTACTTAATGCCACAGCACAGCCATACTTTTTAAATGTTCCAGTGTATACTTAAAATCAATGTACACTTAAAAACAGTCAAAATGGTAAATGTTACATAAATTTTGCCACAATAAAAGATGGTAAAATAAACAAAACAAAAATAATGTGTACATCATGGAGACACTGACTGGATCAGACAAAGTCTTAAAATTTTGGTGCCATTCTTATCATTGCCATGAGCTCTCTGCCTGACTTGCTGTGCTGACCAGGGTTCTCTCGGTAAATTGAAAGTGGTGTTCTGCTTTTACACTAGATCAGATAGCTTGACTGACATAAGCCTATGAGAGAGCAAGAGGGTACTCTGTTCTCCTTGAGCAGGTGAATGGTGCTTTTATCCATGAAAAGTCATGTGATATGCATTTTTAAATTATTATGAACAACTTAAAATTATCATCCATGAAGTTCTTCAGTGGCCACAAAATATGTGTCAATGTGATCAATGTCTCCTGAGAGTCTAGTATCAGGAAAGAAATGCATTTCTTCAGAAGCACTGGCAAGCTTTTGTTCATCAGACAATAAAAGCCTTACAACCTACTGTGTTTCCCTGTTTACACTGACCACCCAGGAAGACACATGCAAATTACAGACTAAGAGTTATAACTTGCCTTGACTGGTCATTACCTCTCATCTCTTGATAATATGACTTGACCTCTCTTGTAACAGTAATTTTATCCACGTGTCCTTTTATACAACCCTAAAGCATTTTGTAAACTTCAGTCCATAAAACAGTAATAGTGAAAATGGAACACAGTAAATAGAAAAAATTAAATAGTCTAAATTCCTGATCATGTCTCCCCAGCTGCCCTGAACCTGAGACCCCTAAATAAAGTGAACGGTGACTCAGAGCTGCCTTGAGATCCCAGGTGCAGGAGGGAGGCCCGCCAGGCTGGACCGTCGTACCTTGTCAATGCTCGTCTGCCTGCAGGGAAATGAGAATGTGAAGCCCAAAGGCAGCTGGGCTCCCTTGAGGCCCATGTAGTCCAGGAAGTCGGCGATGCACTGCACGATGTGGTCAAACAGCTGCAGGGAGAGACAGCAGCACGCTGGACCTGCACTGTACGGGGTGGATGGCAGGCTGGCCCCTCGGAGGGTGAACCCCCGGCCGGCACCTACCTCCTCGCCTGTGCCCTGCATGATCTCCAGGGGGATGGCGAAGATCTTGTTGTACATCCGCACTGACCGTCGTCCACTTCTGATCTTTACCAGGAGGACCCGGAAGTTGGTTCCACCCAGATCCAGGGCGAGGAACTTTCCTTTCTCTGTGGTAGAGGAAGCGAGGGTGGCATCCCACCAGCATGCACTGAGCAGGGCCTCGTGTGCAGGCATTGGGAGGAAGAAGAGATGCCGAAAGAGAACAGCCCTAGAGCTTGTTGGCCTGAGGTTCAGGGGCCACAGGGGCGTGGTGGTCGGCCAGCATGGCGTCAGAGCCCTGGGCAGGCATCCTGAGCCCATCTGAGGCCAGCTTGCTTTCCTCGGTGTCTGCTAACGGCCACTCATGATACTTATGCTCAAGGAACCTCTGAGGGTGAATCCAGGTCAGGCTACCTGACTACAGTGCTTCCAGGAAGGTGCTTCCATTCCGTCTGTAGGGCCTAGAGGAACTGCTCATCTCAAGCATAAAATGATTCTCTGTCCCACTCTTCCCATTCCTGGATTCCCACACCCCCACCAGACTGACAAGAAACCATATCAAGTCCAACATCCATTACCACCTCTTGCTTCTCTGACATCTCAGAGCATCATAGTCTGCTCTGGTGATCCCTCCCCTTGCTGACTGCCTCATTCACTCTGTTATAATCACACTGGTCATCTTGCTGTTGCTTGAATTTGCCAAAGCCCTCACCCCCGGCCAGCTCTCTTACTCCTGACTCTGCTCTATTTGTCTTCATAGCCCTGTTATGACATGGCATCATCTAGTGTTTATTCGTTTACTGTCTGTCAGCCCAACAGAACAAAGGCTCCATGAAGGTATGGACTGTGTTTTCTTTACTGTTCTGCCACTGTGCCTACAACAGAGCCTGACCTATAGCAAGTACTTAATGAAATTTCAAGGAATGGAGGCAAAAGGAAAAAAGAGATGAAAGAATGAATAATTGAATAGTGTTTTTTCCTGCTCTCATTTTCTCCCCCCAAGTAGACTCGAAGGATACTGGCTCTGGAAAAGATCTTTGTTGTTGAGAGATTCCAAGTACAGCTGTATAACCTTAAGTATGTCACCTAACTTCTCTGAGTCTCAGTTTTGGCATCCATAAAATGGGAATCATTCTCTGTTTACATAACATGCAGAGTGGTTGTGAGCACAAAATGAAATTAAAGAGCTAAAAGCAAACTAAAGAGATGAAGCATTTTACAAAGATCATTGTATCTTGGTGAGATTCATGAGATGCAAAGAGGTGGAATTACTTGTCTGAAGAACTGACTTCACTGTTGTGTAGCTCCTGTCAGCTGAGCACAGAGGACCAGGAAAAGGATCCAGTATCAGAAAAGTCAGGGGCAGAAAATGAAGAGAGGGGTGGGGAAGAAAGCCAAGCCCCAGGAGAGAAGAAAGCCAGAAGAAAGGGCAGAAGACAAGTCAGACACGCCACAGTGTCCAGATGGGAGCTCCCGGGGACAGTGTCTGGGTCTTCACACACATGGAACCGAACTTAGGCATTCTTCACTGCCAGTGTCCTGGATCAACCAAAGAACAGATTCAGCAGAGTACTCTCCCTCCCTCCATTATAGATACAAACCCAAGGTTCTTGAAACAAACATCCTAACTGGGTTTTAAGGAGCTTGGATGGAGCTCTGGGTGGCCCATCAGAGAAGGGAGTGGCGCAGGGCCCCACCTGTGCCATCCGGCATCCCACAGACGTAGGTGGGCAGCATCTTGACTGTGGCCAGCGGGTGGGTATCCTTCTTCAGCCCATACTCGAACTCAACCCGCATCTTGTTCTGAATGCCCACTAGTTGCTCCTGGGTCAGCTGGAACAGAGCCAGCACCTTGTCAATCTGCTTCCGCTGGGCCTGCACGCGGGAGGCCACTGCGGTCACCATGGCGGCGCCCTTGGTGCTGCCACTCTCCGAAAGGAGGAAGCGGACGTCACAGTTCGGGACCAGTTTCCTCACCACCTTGTGCAGGCGTTTCGGGTACCTGAAAGCAGGGGTGATGGCAAAATATGTAAAAACCATAAAGGCTGGGGCCCAGCCAATAGAAACAGATACAGGTGGAGCAGTGGAACAGCATCCTGGGGAGCCCTGCTGGGCCAAGGCTCACCCCTTTAGTTGCTGAATGGAGGGAGACGATGGGGGTGACTAGCATAGGGTCCAGATTATCTGAAGGAGTGGAAGGGACCCTTGGAAGCCTCAAAGAAGTGGTTATTTTATCACTAACATTACAACTAGTAGGGCATATCCACACATAATATATGGACTTCCGTGGTGACTCAGCAGTAAAGAATCTGCCTGCAATGCAGGAGCTGCAGGAGACTCAGGTTCAATTCCCAGGTCATGAAGATGCCCTTGAGGAAGGCATGGCAACCCACTCCAGTATTCTTGCCTAGAGAATCCCATGGACAGGGGAGCCTGGTGGGCTACAGTCCATAGGGTCGCAAAGAGTCAGACACAACTGAAGCAACTTAGCATGCATACACTCATAATATATTGATTGAACATCATCTCTGCCCATAGGGAAAGGTTTTTTCCCCCAGCTCTTCCCAGGTCTACACACCTGACTTTCAATTACACCTCTGTGAGTCAGAGGGGCTTTCATTCTCCCTTCTTCTGTGTTTTCCTACCAGTATCCTTCATGTGAACATGGCAACCTCTGCCATCCAGATATTTCCCCATTTATAACTGGACATATCTTACTTTCCTATCTTAACATAGTGAGTATTCAATAATAGTAGATAGATGAATATAGGGATATATAGATAGATAAGCACATGGATGGATGGCCTTGCTAGTCAGACTATTGACTTTAGCAAAACATTCCTTTAAGAATGAGCCCCTAAAGCAGCCCTGCCAGCTAGATGAATGTAATCTCTAAATTCACCCTTTGCTGTATAATCTCAGAACCATAGAATATGGTTGGTTCTGGCAACCCAGAGAAGCAGCATAGTTTAGAAAGGAAACGACTCTGCTCCAGGGGAGAATGCTTGCGGAGGGTGTGGGCCGGCGGCCAGTACTCACTGGGGGTGGATCTTGTAGAGTGTGCCGTCCATGCCCACCGTGGTCCTGAGCCGTACCAGCTTCTTGTTCTCCCGGAGCCGTGTCAGGATGGCTGCCAGGGCGGCTGCGCAGAGATTTGCTGAGCGGAAGGAGACGATGGTGCAGACGTGCTGGACTGCAATGCAATCTGCATCCGAAGGTTCCAGGCCCAGATCTGTCAAGATCTCTCTCGTATTGGCTAGGCCTTCTTTGTACCTGGCCAGGGGACAGGAATGAGAGGACCACACTGCCCCCATCCCATGGGAAGCCCCCTCAGAGAGAGTGTTCCCACCTCTCAGGACTGTGAACATACACAGGCTGGCACATCGTCATATAATAATAATCATGATTTCAACAATGATCATGGCGGCCACCACTTATTGCTCACTTACTATGTGCCAGGGGCTCGTCTAAGGATTTGACATGTGTTAACTCAGTCCTCACAACAAACCTGGGGGGAGGACCGTCATTATCCCACTGTGCAGAAGAGGGATCTGAGGCACAGACAGGGTAGGTAACCTCTCCATAGGCACACAGCTGGTGAGTACAAGGGTCAAGATTTGAACTCAGGCAGTTAGGTTAAGGAGTCCGCCCTCTTAGGCACCCTGTACTGCACTGCCTTCCATAGAAACTCAGTCCCTGCCAAGCTCTGCATAAACACACACTCTGGAAGTCAGATGTCACCCTGCTGAGCTCAGAATCTAAGCTGATTTCAAAGCTCAGGGCAGTGCCAGGGTTTCTAAGCTTGAGGAACAGGGTCTTGAGTCAACCCGGGCCAGTCACCCTCAGCAGTCAGCTCCCTACTGCAGACCTTTGTGTGAGCTCTTCCCTCTAACCGCCAAAGCCAAAACCAAATGCAGTCCCTGACAGCAGCAGGTAGAGAAGATTATTGCTGTAGTGGGAATTCTTAACTTGGATTCCATGCTAGGGCCTTAATGGTTCCAAGGATGCCCTGATATTATGAGCAAAATTGTGTGCAAGTGTGCATTTTGGGGGTAAAGGGTCCAGAACTTAGACTCTCCAAGGGGTCTGCAACCCTAAAAAGGTTATGTCACCAGTTTAGGGAGGAAAAAGGCAACAAAACATGAGAGGAGGGTAAACCTCCAACAGCAGAATCCCTGGCTATTGAAACCAACCAGAAGCCACATGTGAGGCATGACAGGCACTGCTAATCCACCTGAAGCCATGCGCAGGTCTGAAATTGTCCTGGTGAAGAAGGAAGATCTGGTTCCTCCTATGCACTACTCCCACGAGCATACCATGCCTTGGTTGCCCACACTACCCCCTTCAGAGTCAAGGTGGGAGGGACCCTGCCAGTAGCTCACCTCTCCATGGCAGCCACATGCCGTGTTTCAATCTTGCCTTTAATGTGAAGAGCAGAGGATTTCTCGCCGCCAAACAGGAGGCCTGCCTTGGCCATCTTCAGCAAGATGAGCCTGACGAGTTCACCCAAGTATAGGCCGCTGATCATTTTTTCAAACCTACAATTTGGTGAACATATAAGTAGCAGCAATGCCTTTGGTTATGCAGCATTCCTTTCCCAAGCCCATGAGCCATGGCCCAGGGTCAGGAACACAAGTAGTGGAAAGGCCTCTTTCTGGGTCAGGAGGCCTCAGTCCTTGCCCCACCTTGAGATGCCCTTCAGAGCCCACTGCAGCTCTCTGAGCTGCATTATCCCCACTTATAAAAGAGGAGCACTGAACTAGAGGAAACCTATGATTCTTTTCTGATCACAAAGTGCTTGAATCCAAGAATCTCTACTTCAAATCACCCTTGGCCATGGAGGTGCCAGTCTCACATTAGATATAAGGAATCTCAACTTCAGAGAATTTAGGTACTTTCCCAAGATCACTAACCACAGCATGAAAAATCCAAATTTGAAATTTTTCCAACTCCTACATGTTCCTGCCCAAGAGAAAAAGATGTTGTGTCTATTAATTGGGCTTAGATAGCCTCAGAGAGGTTCTACAATAATATGAGTCACCTGGATAACCAACAAGGACCTACTGTACAGAACAGGGAACTCTATCAATAGTCTGTAATAATCTATATGGGAAAAAATCTGAAAAAGAATGAATATATGTATATGTATAACTGAATCACTTTGTTGTACACCTGCAACTAACACTATAAATCTACCATACTCCAATAAAACTTTTAAACATAGTAATAAAATAAAATCTATACACACACACACACAAAATAATATGGGTGAAATGTCCCACCAGGTTACCCACATGTGGACTTTCAGTCTGCATACAACAAGCAATTACTAACTGTTTCCCAAGTAAACTATTAAATATAATTTTTATTCTGCAAACATAATAAAATACAAAATCAAGGACAACCAGTTTCCTAATTAACTTTATCCATTTCATTATAAAATGTCTTAAAACATTACAAAAATAGAAGACAATAAAAAGAAATCCCAGCTGAGCTTGGGATAGTGGAATTATGTTAAGTGAAATGAATAGTGTGAGGATGCTAAAGTCCCCACAATGGACCCAGTTCCTTAGGCTGTGACTGTTCTGTGTCACCAGCAGAATGGGTGTGTGCTGGGGAACAAGTACATCTAAAGCAGAAATTTGTTCCTCAGATATTCACTTCTAGTGTTGAGTGGTTTCCAGGAGGCACTTAAAATGTTTATTCACCAGGGCTTCTTGGGAAAATGGTTGATTCCATTGCTGGGACTGGGAAGTACATGGTGAGCCTGGAGCATCTTACTGTGCAAGAAAATAAGGAGGTGCTTAAAGAGTGACGGGAACATGTCAGAAGCTCTAAGGGACTACCTTGAGGAAGCCTCCACTGGCTAAATCTGAAAAAAAATTTAATAGGAAGGAATGATTAAATAATGATAGGAAAAAATTATAACTCATTAAATTATAAAAGAATCTGTATTAGTATAAGGAAGTAAGTGGAGGAGATAGCTCTTCCTTACAGTATTCCTTACGGTAGAATAGCAACTAATAACTGCAGAGGGAATGATGGATCTAGAAATTCATCAACAGATGCTAAAACTAGAGAGTAAAAGTTTAATGAGACACAGGATAATTGCATAGTCTCAAAGTATCTCTTCACCAGATACTTATTCATTACAGAGGGAATAACCTTGGGGTGGAAAAACTTCTCAAATATTCCCTTTACCAAGTGATTTGAATTTGTGTCATCAGTAACTGAAGAAATATTATACACTTCCAGACCTGATGCTCTGGGAAGGACACACACCACTTGTGTGATAGTCTTGCTGAAAATGTATCACCTGAATCTAATCATGGGAAACGTCAGACAAATACAAGCTGAGAGACATGCTGTGAAATACATGGTCTGTATTCTTGAAGACCATGAAAAGCAAAAATATATTACAGAAGATTGAAAGCGGCTAAAGAGATACAGCAGCAACATGTAAGGTGTGATCCTAGACCTGGACAATTTTTCTTTTTAAATAAAGGACATTAGTGGGGCAGCAGGTGAGTTTTGAGTAAGATCTATAAATTAGATATTAGAACTGATTAAATGCTAATGTCCTAATTTTGATAATTACACTTTGGTTATATAAGAGAATGCACTTGTTCTCAGGTAATACTCTGAAGTATTTAGGGGCGAGGGGATATTACATTTGCAATTATAGTTTCAGATGGTTCAGAAAAATAATTTTATTCCGACATATGTGTATTTTATACAGATGTATATTTTATGTGTCTGTGTATATACATTTACACACAGATAGAATGTTACTATTTGGGTATTTGACTGAAGGTTGTACTAGTCTCATTACTTTTCTATAAATCTGAAATTATTTTTAAAAATTGCAAACATTTTTTCATTCAACAGACACTTTTTGTTTGTTTTTTAACAAACACTTAAAGTTGCAGCAATGTGTAAAGACACTATGTGTAGAAAGGGAAGGAAATCCCAAGTGTAGCTGCCCTCCCGGAGTTCAGCATGCAGGCAGAGCTGAGGCAGAACCTGAAGGCTCACAGTACATGTGAGCGTGAGATGAGAGTGCAGGACGTCTGCGTGAGACCCCACCAGGCGCTTCGTGATGAGGCCTCGGAGAAAGTGAGGTGCAGCGGAGCCCTGAAACTAACGAGGAATGTGTGCTTCCTCGGGCTGCACTGATCTGTTCTGTGACCATTCATTCCAATGGGCCCAAAATGCAGGACTTGAGTCACCAGGTTCACAGCTGTATCTCCCCTGCCTCTGGATTGAATCTGATCAGCGATAGGACCTGGGAGAAATCACTCGATTTCTTTGGCTTCCCTTTCCTCATCTATCTGGTGAAAGTGAAATATCAATACAAGCCTTGCCCCTTAACTCCCGTGATGGAGAACAAGCGACAGCTAAGACGGCTCCCAGGTACGCAGCGCACCTGCGTGAGGACAGTCACCGGGGCCGGTGCCCAGATGACAGCACCGGGTACTCACAGCTGCTTCCCGGGGTTGAGGGAGCCGAGGTCCAGCTCCCGGTCGAACTCAGTGCGGATGTCCTCCAGGGCCCCGTCGTCCCCGAAGGCCCCCCACTCGGTGCTGATGCACATCCTCCCCTCGTCGCCCTCCACCAGGTCGATGTTGCTCATGTCCTCCATGTAGCACGCGTTGGTGCCGGTACCTGGACGAGGGAGCAGAGAGAAAACGGACAGCCGCGAGGGCGCCCGGCTGGGCAAAGACAGAGGAAACTCTCAACCGCCCGAGAGTCCTCTGAATGCGCCACAAAGTGCTTTTGATCCACTCCCGGGGCTGGTTCTTGCTGAGGGAAGCAGCTTTGGCAAGCCCGGGAGTTCATGAGGAATAAAGCTGACATGTCAAGTCCACACTTGTCAGGGTGTTAATGGTTTGCTGTTATGAATGGAGTCGATTGTGAGGAAGTCCCTGATGAATATGTATGAAAGCTGACAGAGCACATTTACGGAGAGGAGGATGAGTTAACTGAATCTTGTGTTTTTAAAAATTCACCGACTCACTAATATTTTTAATCCTTTCCCTGTGCTACTTGGCCTCTTCTCTATTTGATACTAAAAATATTCCTTACTCATAGCCTGCCACAAATCCTTCCTAGCATAAGCTACATCCTTATCTTTGACAGTGATGAGCTAGCACATAAGACAGCAACATGCCATTATTCAAACATAAATTCACTCCAAGGAAATGCCTCAAACACTTGAGAAGTGAGGAGAGGCTGCAGATAGGCACAACCTGTTTGAGACAGATTGGGATGATGGAAATGTTCCAGCTGGACTGTGGTGATAATTACAAAACTCTATAAATTCACTAAAATCACTAATTATTACCTAAATGAGAGGGTTTTTATGCTTCAATAAAGGTAGTCTTTGTTTGGCCATGACACGTGGCATGTGGGGTCTTGGTTGTCCAACCAGGGGCCAAACCTGTGCCCCCTGCAGTGGAAATGTGGGGTTTTAACCACAGGATTACCAGGGAAGTCCCAATAAAGCTGTTTTGTTGTTGTTATTGTTGTTTTAATTTTAAGTATCTTTCCCTGGCTGATGTTTAGTTCTCAGGATTTTAAAGCAACATGAGAAATAAGAGATGTAGGCAATCAGATTGCAATACAATATTTGGGAAAGGCTTTTCTCAGAAAAGCACAGACAGTGGCACCCAACTGGCAGGTTATCAGACAGAGTCAGTAAGACAGACACAGTGGACTGTAGCAGATGCCATGCCGGGCAAGCGCCCGGTCCATTCTGAGGTGTGGGGCTCCAGAAACTGGAAGGCAAATCAAGACCCCCAGATGTAAAGATCCTGCTCTTTGGGAAAGTCAGACTGAGGGGAGTGAGATGCAAATTAGGAAAAAGCAATTCAGAAAACTTTCCCCAATAGTAGCAAAGTAATAGGAGGGTTGAACGGACATTTGAGAACAGCCTATAAATCCGGCCCGTTTGGCCTTACTGACCCCACACAGCCTTTCCATGGACCCCTCCGGGAGGGCCCCCTTCCAGCGCAGGTGTTGAGACCACCCACAGACACTCCCACTATGCCGTGGCCTCTTGGCTGGCCTTACCCCCGCTAGTTGATTCTCTACACAGCAGCCAAACGAGCTTTTTCAAAGTGGACACCCCTCTTGCCCATCCACCACCCAAAGTCCTCTAGTGCCCTGTCTCCCATGGGTTTAAAGTCAGAGACCTTCCAGGGACCGTGTCCCATGTCCTCGGGGATCTGCCGGGTCCCAGCCACTCTCTCTCACCTGAATGGCCTTCTACTCTCAGCCTCACCCCCTTTGATTCACAACCATTCAGCCTTTTAGGGCTCCTCAAGAAGGCCAGACTCATTCCCCTCTCACAGTCCGCAGGATTCACTTCCTCTCCATCTCTGCTTTGCTCCCTCCTCCTCATCACTGAGGTCCCTGCTCAAATGTCACCCCTCAGGGAGGTCTCAGCTCACAACCCCACTACACACACTCTCAGTCACATCACCCTGCTTTATATGCCTCATCACACTAACCACCTGAGATATGATTTGTTTAGGCCTTTCTGGTCTCTCCCCCACCTCTGCACTGAAAGTTTCACAAGTACAGGAATCTTTGGAACTCTCACCATCAAGAATCTGACACAGAGCCCAAGGCCTAGCACACAATGGTTACTCAGTAAACACTTGTGAATGAATGCGTGTATTAATTTTCTATCTCCCTATGTTGCTTCTTCTAAGTAGAAAATGCCAACACTCTTCCCACAGAATTTACTCAGAGTTTCCTGAAACTAAGCCCCAAACCAGCCCCTTGCAACCCACCTCCAAAGAGCAAGGCAAATTGAGTTACCAATGATGACACCAACTTCGCAGTAGGGATCGTCATAGGCACACGTCATCATGGTCCCCACGGTATCGTTGACCAAAGCCAGGATGTCCACATCTAAGTCCTGCTGGAACACAAGTCGCAGAGGGCATCAGTGTGTGGGAGGGAGGCGCTATTCCCTTATTTTTCCCGATCGGGGAAGCAAAAGTAATGAAGGTGCCTGGTTCAGAGAATCACCAGATCCTGCCTTCTGGGCCTGCCTGTAAGAAATAAGGCCTTTGTCCCACAGCAGTTGTCTGCCTTCAGTCAAGATGTTCTGACTTTTCCTGCTGACCCCTAGATCCTACACACCTGCGACTCAAAATGAACTAGCAAAACAGGAAAGAACTATTAGGGAAATTAAAATGGAGGTAGTCTTGTTCAGGATTCAAAATTAGGGGAGCAGGCCTCTGACTGACTTCCGACCTTGGCAGAACTGCATGTCTGCTTGCAAGCACACTGGTGGTTACCAGCAAGTCAAGTGGCATTTTAGATAAGAAAAGGAGTGGGTGTTGGACTTTCTTAAGCCCCTGGAGATCTCACTAGTCCCCCAGGGTCTAAGGAATCTTAAGATTCACAAGTTGAAACAAATAGCATTGTAAAAGATAAAGGAAAACCAGAGCTGCATTTTTACGTGAAAACTGATTAATAGTATCAGTTTGCAGGCTGGGATTATAAGCAGAAGCCCCCAGAACTGGGACTTGAAGTCTCAGCCATGGTGTGGATGCACCACCTTGGACCCTTTCCCCAACTGGGGCTCCAGATTGCTATTACTTGGGACTTCCCAGTGTTGTTCAAGTATGGACGTAGGTTGCCAGCCCAATTTGGTGATGTATACACTGTTATTCCTCTCTATTGTTTCTGTTTCTTCTAATGACTGTACATTAAAATTAAGTTAAATAATCTTCTAGAAAAAATTTAAATTGTTAAAAAAAAAAAGAAGGAAGGACTTTGTCAAGGTTTAAGGTCCAGGGGAGAAAAAGAGCAGTTGAGACTGAAGAATGAATGAAACTCATGCTCCTGTTTCATGGGTGAAGGTCTCTGAGCAATGAAAACATGAGGGACAGATCTCCAAGACTCCAGCCAATGCTTGAAGAACCCTGAGGAATCATGTTTATCCTAGCAGCAATGGTGCTTCCAGGAGAAAACACCAAAGTCCTCGCCCACAGGGACATTTTAACCAGCCTCAGCCAAGTCCTCTCCGTGAGCAGCATCAGGGGTTGCCTGTTCTATCAAGTTAACCAGGGTTATTGCACCACAATTCCACAAGGTTTGGGAGAGTATTTTAAAGTAAAATGAAAACAATAAGAGAAAAAGTATACAAAAGACTATGATAGCAACTTTAAAGAGAAAAAAGACTGGAAGGGTATACTTCAAAATATTTCTCACATTGTCAGTGTAACAAGTCAATTGGGTTAATTTGTGTACTCAGCTCAGCCAGGAGTATGGCTTGCTTTAATAGTTCTTTAAATTATTGTAAAACGTATCCAACAAATAGAGATATTCAATGAGTAGGGTGTAGAAAATGGGACAGAGAGCCAGACAGGAAAGAAAATTACCTTCCATGCCTCAGAGAGGAAAGGTGAGGGTCAGAGCATCACACACAGCATCGAATCTAACCAAGACCCCCTTAAGAGGCTGTGGCAGCTGGGGAGGTCCCAGGGGCCTCCCTTCAACAGTGATTAGAACACTGGCCACATACCAGTCCCACAGAAGGGTTTATCCAAATTGGCTACGTCTGTGCTACAGTGAGAACTTTCTTAGGATCAGGTCCTTCTCTGATTCTCCTTCAAGGGCAGGCACAGTAGAAGACAACCCTTCCCCACCCCCACAAGAGATAAGGGCCAGAACTAGGAGAGCTCCCCACACTCAGAGGGGTTCCTTACCTGGTGTCTTTTCATAGCATTGGTCAGGGAGCGCACTACATCTGTACCCTGAACTCCCCTCGCCTTAAACTTCTTCGTCCATGAAAGCAGGATACCCTGGGGGAAGATATTAGATCCAGACAAAACAAAGAAGGCACTCGGTTCTGAAAACGAGCTGCAGAAATTTCATGCTTACTACAGTGGGTCCCCTGTAGCCTTCTCTTTAAGTTGAGTCGCACTGATTCTTTCATTTCCTTAGAGGCCTTTTCTAATAATTTCGACATGCTTATTACTCTCATCTGAGCAGTTTAAAATATTATACACAGCGGCAGAAAGAACAATGGCTGCAGGGTCAGAATGCTTGGGTTCACAATACACTGTTCAAGTCATTTAACCTCCCTGAGCCTGAGTTTACTCACCTGGAAGTGGAAACATCACCTCCCTGCCTCTGTCACAGGAGTGTTCTGATGGAAGTACCGGAATGTGGTAGACACGTGATGGGTGCAGAATGTCAAGTTTGCCAGGCCCACAAAGCAGAACCAATATGTTACCTTGTAAGACTCTTTTGGGGACTTAATTTCAACTTGGAAAAATGGATCTCAATATGCATTATCAATTATCTGCTTACAAGTGGTGCTTCTCAAAGAGTTTGATGTCTAACATAGCAAATAATCACAGGATTTTTCAGACTGAAGGAGAACTTGAAGAGTAAAAGATGCCCAAGGTTACCTAGTGGAGAGGAGTTGAGCCCAAACTTACAAACTCCCTGACTAGCCCCACCCCCTCAGCTTATGAATAAAGCAGACAAGCTTCAGAAAAGAAGGAAGTTGCTCCAAGTCGCATAGTCAGTGAAGGAGAGAGCCCAATTGGAACAAAGGTTTCTGACGCTAACCCCCTTCCCACACCCCTCTAACCCCCCCATCGCACTTCAGAGATCAGGTTTTTTCCCCTGCACCACAGCGCCCTCTAGTGGTAGCTCCCCCTAACTTCTGCCCTCTTGGGCCACGGTATCTCCTGCCCCCTGGACAGAAGAGGGAGAGATTGTTTGGTGGTGTCCCCGCAAAAAGGACACCAGGGACAATGTGGGACCTTAAGGGGAGATATATGGGGGAGTGGGGAATAAATGCATGTGACATACTGTTGAGTGGGGAAAAAAAAGCTGTACATACAGCTTAACACCAGTATTCAATACAGATACGATTGCAAGGGGCTCAGACAGTAAAGAATCCGCCTGCAATTCAGGAAACCCAGGCTCAGTCTCTGGTTGAGGAAGATCCCCTGGAGAAGGGAATGGCTGCCCACTCCAGTATTCTTGCCTGGATATTGCTATGGACAGAGGAGGTTAACAGGCTATAGTCCATGGGGTCCCAAAGAGTCGGACATGACTGAGTGACTAACACATTCATGACTGCAAGGAAAACCCAATAATTCTAGTAGTGGGTATCTCTGAAGGTTGGGATTAGAGGAGATTTCTATTTTCTTCTTTAAAGTTTTCAATTCCGACCCTCTTTTCTCTCTCTTTTCCCCCCTACCTTTAAGAATTATTGCCATTTTATCATCAGAAACACACATACACACACAGAAATTTTTCTTTAAGACTTTTCTGTTTCCTCATTTAAACAAACAAAACAAAACCAAAATGACCTTCTCCTTTAAGTCCAATGCCCTGATCTTCTTTAATCATTTTTTAGTGTCACTAAGAATCCTCCTCAGTCACATGTCCTCGTGAAGTCTTCCCTTTCCCACCTCCTTCTGCACCTACATGGCTGATCAGACTCCATCTTCTCCAAAGCCCTTACTTTCATGTCACAAATTTACATGCAGCAGAATCGTGGTTAAACAGCTATGCCCACTCTCGGTTGTTATTACTAATGCATTTCCTTGTGACTGAAACTTTTCTACTTTAGACTTCTCTGAAAGGCAGCCTGGGAGGAAATTTTATAAAATGCAGGCTAATTCAACTAGACTTTGAAGAGAAATATTTTCACATTTACTTGATATAATCAAGCCACCCTTGCCTAGTTTAAATGTCATCTGAAAACTCTCCTTGGGATACAACACAAAATGGGTCAAAATGCTTTCAGGCACCTGTTGGTATTTTTTTTTAAAAACAATTTTATTTACTTACTTTTGGGCGGGGCGTGGGGGTGTGTGGCATGCTGCACAGCATGTAAAATCTTAGTTCTCTGACCACTGATCAAGCCTGCAACCCCCCTACACTGGGAGCAGAGAGGATAAAACACTGGATCACCAGGGAGTCCCCTGCTGGCATTTTAAACAACTTTCTAGAGCTGTGTCTGTTTGGAAAATCAGTGTGGTCAGAGAGTTTGTAAGCTTGGGCTGAGAAATTCTTGGCTGTGTGGCCTTGGATAAGTCTCTTAAACTTTCTGAACTGCAGTTTCTTTGACTATAAAATAGAAATAATTTTATCTGCCTCATATGATTGCTTTGGGATTTTAGTGAGGTTATACACATGGAGAGTTCAACATAGTACAAGTGTAAAAATCTGATGTGTAGTCTATCATCATTATCATAATCTTCCTTCTTCTTAAGGTCTCTGTTCCTAAGCTCAAATAAGAGGTGTTTAACTATCTGGAGAATTGAGGCCTGATTTCCTGACTCCCCCCACTTCCCTTACTGACTTGGGGGAACTCTGTTCTTTCAGCATGCAAAGACAAGCAAAGCTCCACCTGTCCTCTCCTAACTTCCCTGAAACCTTTACACTAATTTCCTCCCAATTGTTTCTTTAGAAAATAACTCATCAGTAAACCTCAGCCCATATCCCGTATAGACAGATGATGGTAAATTCCCATTCAGTGGAATCCAGTAAATGATTGATTGCACCTTTCAATTGTCAGATAGTTACCAAGCAGCTATTAAATATAAGACACTGTGCTTGAGACCCTAGAAATGGACAGGAAGAACAATATAAAATAGTGCCTGCCCTCCGGAAATATCTGTTCAGTTGAGGGACAAGATACAAAAGCATGAAGAGACAAGTTGTATGGGGACATTCATTAAAACTTTGAAGCTACCATCGATGCACCAGGCACAGTGCTCAGCACATTACAGAAGCTCTGTCTAAGCTTCACCTCAGCCCAGTGAGTAGACAGTATCCCTGTTTTACAGATAAGAAAACAAGGGACCCAAGAAGTTAAGTAACTTGCCCAGGGGACAAAACATGTCTTGAGCCATGATTCAAAGCCAGGTCTATTAAATGTGAAAACCCACTCCCTTTCCACTATCCCATAATCAATAAACGTCTCAAGCCAACAACATCAAACACATCCCAAGTCAGGTTGGTCCATGAATTGGCTGTGAACTGGGTGCCATGACCAGTCTGGGCAGCAAGAGTTCAGGGACCATCACTCCAGGCAGGAGACCTGATTCAAGACAATAGCCTCCTGGCCCCAGAAAGCTCACTGTCCTGTTAAATGGCCCTTTATTTATTTTCACAGATTCATGCAAGATCAGGTTTACCTTCTCCCCATTTACAAACTGATACTCTGAGGCACAGAGAGGTGGATTGCCCGAGTGCCCAGCTGGCTACTTGCATCCCAGACACCAGGGCTGCTCAGTAATACTGTCACTCCAGTGACCCCGTGTCAGGCCTCCTCCTAAGGGCTCACTGTAGAGGGAGACTCCCCCAGCCTTCCCCTTCTTATTCTAGTTAACTATGTCAGTGCTTCCGAGTGTGGTCGCCGGAACAGCAGCATCCATGCCACCCAGCAACTATTAAAAACACAAATCTAAGGCTCCATTGGTTAAGAAACTCCTGCGTGGGGCAAGCAATCTGTGTTTAACAAGCCCTCCAGGGGTTCCAGCTAAACCAAGGTCTGAGAACCACTGAGCTTGGTGGTGAAAACATTTCATTCCTTGTGCCGTGCCCAGGGTAAATGTAAACTCAAGGCAGCCGTGTTACCATATTCTCTGCCTCACACATCCACCTCACTGTTTAAAGACAAAACACAAACAAGAAAAGTCCTGCTGATCTTTCCTGTTCCCAGACTGACCCCCTCACATGCCACATTCTCCAGCCCCAAACCCAAATCCTACACAGCTTATTCCCTCCCTTGCACCAGCCTTACCTCATCTAATTTAGTCTGTTTGCAGGGAAAGGAAAAGGTTAAGCCAAGAGGTAATTTCTTCTGCATCAACTCTTTGGTCTTCATGAAATCTGCCAGACAGTCAGCTACGTATTCAAACAGCTGCAGGGAAGAGAAAGCACAGGACACAGGGCTAAGGTCATCCAGAAACTTGGTACCAAGGACCACCTTTGAAGAGCCCCCGGTCTTGGTACCTCTGTGCCATTCCCTCGGATGATTTCATTGGGTGTTGGGTAAAACTGACTCTCCATCTGGACATTTCGTTTCCCCTCTTCAGAGACTTGCACCTTCAAGACTCGAAACTTGGATCCTCCAAGATCCAGAGAGAGAAATTCCCCATTTTCTATGAAAAATATAAACCCCCAAAAGTTATCATTTACTGAGAGTCTGCTATACACAAGCTCCTTAGAAGTTGGACTGTGATAAACATGAAATCTCACACCCCTACAAGCCAGGTATGCCTGTGTGCCAAGACTCGAAGTGTGACTGTTGATTTGCACCCTCCCAGTGAGGGGCAAAGTTGGGGTGTGACCCAAGTCTGCCTGCCTCTGCCACCTCAGCCCTGCCCACTGGGCCACCCTGTAAGGAATGAACGTGTTCATCGGGAGAGGGCAAATGTGAATGCACTTTAGGCAGGTGGTATTAGAAACGTGCCTTGAGAGACTTCTCTGGTGGTAGAGTGGATAAGAATCTGCCTGCTGATGCAAGGACACAGGTTCAATCCCTGGTCTGGGAAGATTCCACATGCTGCACAGCAGCTAAGACCATGCACCTCAGCTGAGCCCGCGCCCTGTAACCACTGACGCCCATGCACAAAGAGCCTGCGCCCTGCAACAAGGCAACATGCTGCAGTGAGAAGCCTGCACACCGTGACTAGAGAAAGCCTGCAGGCAGCAAAAAGACCAGCACAACCAAAAATTAAAAAGAAAGAAAGAAAGAAATGAGCCTTGAGGATGGAGCTTATTCTAGCACACCACAACCACCACAACCAGGAAGGGAGAGTTGATACTCCACAAAATGCAAATAAGGCAGAAAAGACAGGAGGATTTCAGGGAAGAGAAACACCAGCTTCATACCAGCCTCTGTCTCATGGACAGAGAGAAAATACTCTAGGAGGGAAGGGAGACACACACCTAATCCTGGCCCTTAGGAGCCAAGGATGCTTAATATTTTGGGCCAGAGTCATTCCAAAAGGAGAAAATGTAACATGACCTCACCCAGTATAAGACAGATGCTATTAATAAGAAGGTAGAAATGACACATGTGTTGGGGTGATGCGGCCCACGCTGATGACTTCAACTCAGTCATCAGCATCCAGCCAGAATTTCTGCCTAGGACCTGCCAGTGTCTTTAGCATTAGCCACAGATATGCGATGGGAGCTCATGTGTGCAGACCCTCGAACCAAGTCTTCGTACAGAATTAACTGTGCTGGAAAATTGGCTGCATGTACCAGGCATGCGTCATGACACATACCCAAGGCACATATAAATGAAATTCTGTGCACACCAATCTGGTCACCCAAATGGCCTTTTTTTGGTACCATGTGACCCTAGACACAGCTGCCTGAATCTAAGGGACCAGCTGGCCATTCAGAGTCACTGCTTGTAAAATGTGACATAGAACACAGGGAAATTGCTAGTGGGTGGTAAAAACAGAAATGGAAGTGTCCTGCACACCAGAGGTCAGCTGGTAGCCAAGGTGGCCACATGGATGTAGGCTGGAACCATAGACATTGGGCTTTCCTGCCCTGGCTTCTGCAGTGTCTGGCTTGTGCCCCTGCTCCTTCTCCACTCTCTAGCGTGGTATCTCCCAAAGGTGCGCAGGGACCGAATGGGTAGATTTCTGGAGATTCACGATCTCCAAGGGGAGAAGCCTGGGAAACTATATTTAGGAATTACCCCATTGAAGTGAAAGTGAAGTGGCTCAGTTGTGTCTGACTCTTTGCCACCCCATGGACTGTAGCCTACCAGGCTCCTCCGTCCATGGGATTTTCCAGGCAAGAATACTGGAGTGGGGTGCCATTTTCTTCTCCAGAGGATCTTCCCAACGCAGGGATTGAACCCAGGTCTCCCGCACTGCAGGCAGAGGCTTTACCGTCTGAGCCACCAGGGAAGTCCCCCAGGTGACCCCTAGGGTAAGTCCCCCAGGAGTTACCCCAGGTGAGTCTTATGCTTAGGCAAGTGTGGGACCTTTGTCCCAGTGCAGACGTCTGGGGCCCTCAGCTGATAACACAGAGGCTGCTGGCCTCACCCACAGGGCTCAGCCTCCAGGCTGCCTGGAGGCACAGGTCAAGAAGCGAGGCCAATGAAGACGGGCCTAAAGAATCACTGACACATTCAGATCACAAGATGGGCACTTCCTGTCCCCCTTCCCTTGTGAGTGGTGGAGGAGAAGGCACAAATGACCACCATGCTTTTAAGGCTCTTGTAAGAACAGTCAAGCACAGCTCCCTGACTGACAGCTGGGAGCTAACTCAGGCTCTATCCGGTTACCCGCCTCAGTCAGGTTCAGATGAAGGAGGGGAAACTAGAGAGCAGGCCAACACTGAAGGATTTCTTCTGGAAACTGCACACATTTCAGATACGGAGGCCCCGAGAGATTAGGAAATAATCCTGAAATCAGACCAGGAGCTCACAGGAGTTCCATAGAACTTGGGACATTTTGGAGAGTTTCAAGCATTCCTTGCACATGACCTCATCTGATGCTAATTAACCTACAAGTTGGTGGACAAACTGGCCACATCTCTTTTACTAATGAGAACAGTGGTTCTGGGACTTGACAAAGGCACGTGGCTCCACAGGCACTCTGGGCCCAGGGACCTCACTGCTGCAGAATCCCTGGTGAGACTGATTGTGTAGTGAGAGGCTCTGAGGAGACCATGAAGTCAGGAGGTGGTGTCTCCTGGCCTGATGAGGAGGTAATTTCTAAAACTTGGTCGGTTTCAATTCCAAACCTTCCTGAAGCAGCCAACAGCCTCCAGACCATTGAAGGCCACTTTCCCTTGCTTCTGGGGACACACCTCTACAAGAAGAGCCAAAGCACTGGAAGTCAGGAGGACTCTGACCCGGTGCTCCCCAACACACACACACCTCATGACTCAGGTGCTTCTCAGAATGGCCCCAGAGGACCCATCAAGGACCACAGTCTTCTCAGCATTCTCAAAGAGCAGTGTCAGAACTCAGCAGAGATTTCAAAGCAGGACCGTCTCCCTTCAGAGCTTGTGTTTCTCCACATGGTATAGTACCCATGCCGCCCAACCCCCACCAGCAAGGGAATGGGTCTTCCCATCACAGTTCCCAGGAGCCTCTCAAATAGCAGAGTCAAGCAACTTTTGCCTACGTGTTCTCCCAGAGGGGCCCAGAGCACTGCTAATCCAATCAAAGGTCCCTGAGAGCTCCCTAAACTTTAGTCCTTGCTCCCTTGAAAGCCCCAAAGCCCCTGCTGGAGCTTGGTTGGAGCACTGGGACTCTGACATTGGGGGGAGCCCCTGGGTCCCCACTGCTCTCATTTGACTTGGGGATAAGAGCTCCACCATGGGGTTCTTACGGGGATTGTATAAGACAGCAAGTCCCTAGCACCCCATGACCACAGGAGGTGTGTAGTAGATACCAATTTCTTTCCTTCCTATGGCTTTACCCAGAGGCTGAGAGTAGAGCAATTTGATGGCAAAATAATAGTTCCCACAAGATGTTTACATCCTGATCATGGGTCCTATGAATATACTAGGTTCTGTGACAAGAAAGAATGAAGGTTGATGATAGAATCAAAATTGCTCATCAGTTGGCCTAATATAATCACAGGGTTTTAAAGTATGGAAGAGGGAGGCTGAAGGATCAGAGTCAGAGATCTGAAGATGCTACACTGGGGCTTGAAGATGGGAAGGGCATGAGCCAGGGAACATAGGAAAAGCTGGGGAATGCGAGGAAACAGAGACTCTTCCCTAAAGCCTCCACAAGGAACGCAGCTCGGCCACATCTTGATGATAGCCCTTGATTATAGACCCATCTCAGACTTCTGACCTCTGAGGCTGCAAGAGAATAAATTTGTGTTGTTTAACACAAATAAGTGTGTGCTAACTTATTACAGCACCAAGAGAGAACACATTTTACAGATAGAAAAATTAAACATGTTGCCAAAGGTCACTGATGAATGACAGACCTGGGCCTAGAACTCAGGTTTCTTCAATTACCATTTAATATTTTTTCCACTATACTATCTTCCACTACTTGCCATCTGTAGCCCAGAACCTGGGTACTTATGTGTGAAATGCCATTTACTATCCATTCTGCAAACATTTCAGGCCCAGTATGCATCTAGGACTGTGCAGCGCTCAGAGCACTGCGGTGAAGAAGATGCAGACTCGGCCCTCAGGGAGCACTGGTCCAGTGGGGAGACTCTCATACACAGCGGGGTGACAAGAACCTAACCCAGCATGGGGATGCTTCCCAGGTGAAGCCAGTGATCTCTACACTAAGGTGGAAAGGCCAGGCTGGTGTTCATAAGGGGAAGAGTGTTGGGATGCTCTAGCAGGAGAGGGAACAGAACGCATAGGGCCAAGGCAGACAGGGAGAAAGCAAGATGCATTTGAACTTTGGCTCACAACTTTTGATATGGAACATGATTGAAACATAGAGAGTCAGGAAGGTGGGAGAGGGAGTGTGGAGAGAGGGCTTGGAGAGGTAAGCCAGGAAACGGGAGACAAGTTCAGGTACCCATCTGTCAAAAGGGACCCAGGGGGATCAGTGTCCCCAGCCGCCCCCAGCCTCACTCACCCGAGCCGTCTGGAATGGCCCTGACGAAGGTGGGCAGCATCTTCACCGATGCTGTGGGGTTGGTGTCCTTCCCTAGGCCCTTCTGCATTTCTGCCTGGAACCGAGCCATGATGTCCAAAAGGGTCTCATCGGAGAGGCGCATATGGTACAGGAACCTGTCCACCTGGAACAGAGTGCAGAGTGATCAGGGTTGGCTGCTGGGGGCACCTGCCCTCCATTCAACGCTGTTAATTCCCACTCCAGGCAGAAAGCTGCATTCCTGACTCAGGACAGCTTCTTTTTCTTTTTTTTTTTTAAGATTTATTTATTTATTTTTGTCTCTGCCAGGTCTTCGTTGCTGTGCCCGGGCTTTCTCTAGTTGCAGGGAGCAGGGGTCACTCTCCAGCTGCGACGAGCAGGCTTTTCACTGTGGTGGCTTCTCTTGAGGAGCACAGGCTCCCGGCTGAGTAGCTGTGGCTCATGGGCTCAGCTGCCATATGGCACGTGGGATCCCCCCAAAGCAGGAACCAAACCCATGTCCCCTGCATCGGCAGGCAGACTCTCAACCACTAGACCACCAGGGAAGTCCCTGGGACAGCTTCTTGATGTGGATCCCCAAAGGTCCCTTTCCTGACCCCTCACTGAGCTTAGAAGGACAGAATGGAATGGAAAACTGAGGGGTGAGGACAGGGACTTTTTCCTCTGAAGGACAAGCTCTGAGGAAAAAATGGTTCCCCCACTTTTCTGATGGGAAAATAGAGGAGCAAAAACAAGGACTCAGTTTCTAATTCCCAGTTCAAGGTCCTCACCATTTTCCCATTGCCTCTCCACTGGAAGAGACTCACTTATAGAGTGAAGCTTAAATTCCAAAACAGGGAAGCTTTCTTCTATGCAATGATAATAATAGATATTCACATGTCTCCCCTTGTATATGGGCTGCTAGGAAGCTCAAAGCTAAATTCAATTTCCGAGTACAATCTCTGAAGTCCAGTGCTTTAAATTTCCTTTTTAACTGAGGTTGTTCTAACTAAGATGAAGCTTAATTTTTAAAGCCAGCTCAAATTGCTATTGGAAATGAGTGGATGTCACTCATATAATCAGAAAATCAGGACAAAGGACAAATGCCCCAATGGAGGAAAGATGTAAAAAGTATTCTTGCTGTACACAGTCCATTTTAAGGTAGGAAGTCACATCTTACCACCTCCCCCTGCTAACACTGGTCACTCGGTGGTGTGGCTTGGACTCCCGGGGCTTGCTGGGTTGGAGGATTAGGAGAAGGGACAGTGGGACAGGCGCCCTGTATTGCCACCTTGCTTTATATACTAAACAGCCTCTCTATTCATCCAGGTCAGAAGAAGGCTTGATCTGGGCACATTCCTGTAGGAATTGCTTCCCCACACATTTCCCTGAGGCTAAGAACATTGGTTACAGTCTGAAAAATGCTTTTGTATAAAATAAATAAAAAATGCTTTTGTGTATGATACCTCATCTGATCTCCAAGATACCCATTTGAGTCTCCTGCATTGTGGGCAGATCCTTTACCGTCTGAACCACCACGGAAGCCCGTTGAGGCAGCCAGCTAAGGCCAAGATGATGGCTCCTAACTGAGAGACGGGGACCCCAAGGCTCAGAGGCACTAGGAGATCTGCGGGTCAGGGGCGGCACTGGGGCTCTAATTCCTGCACGTTCCTCACTCCCATGGCCTGGTTTAGCTTCACAGCTTTGTGCAGGGCCCGCAAGTCCAACAGACAAATTATACCAAAGCCGGGGGTCACATGACATTTATCACAAGACAGGTACCCAGCCTTCAGCCAAGCCTAGAGGGCAGGCATCGCAGTTCAGTCCAGGGCCAGTGTGGAGTCCTACGCCAGTGAAGTGGTCCATGGCTTTGGAGGCCTGGGGGCCAGAAAGAGGCCAGAAGACCATCAGAGAGCCATTAACAAAAGAGGACAATTGGGCTGTCAGAGTATTTGAGGAGATAGGATAGAACCAGGTCATGCTTCATTAAGGGCTTTCTGTTCACTCTGAGTCTGCTGATGACTAACTGGCTGGCCCAGCAACAGACAAGGAGGCCACCGAAAGAAAGAACGTGACCCAAGTAACTGGGGCTCAGAGAAGGGTGAGATGTGTCCCTCAGAAACTAAACCTGCTTCTTTACCACCCCCAAGGCCCTTCAGACAGTGGCCTGAATCTACTGCTCATTTCTTCCCATCCCCAGAGAATAATGAGCTTCTCTAGGCATTCCCATAGCATCATCCTTTGTAAGTAAGTAATGGTTTTGAGGCCCTTTGGCAGTCGTTTGCCAGCTGACGTTTAAAAGAGTCATTTAAGGACTTGGGGTTACTACTCCTGCTGTTTCAATAAGTTAAAGTTATGCCAAAAAAAAATGTCAACTAGCATGGCTTTCTTGTTTTGTATATATTTTTTAATCTTCCACAACACCTGGTAAAGTAGCTAGAAAAGAAGAATGAAACCTGCTGCTAAGTCACTTCAGTCGTGTCCGACTCTGTGCGACCCCAGAGACGGCAGCCCACCAGGCTCCCCCATCCCTGGGATTCTCCAGGCAAGAATGAAACCTATACTGGGACAAAAAGGCTATATTTTAAACCCAAAAAGGTGATTTGAGGACTATATAACCAGGAACACACACTGCAGGCACCAAGGAAGGTACTTGAGTTCAGAAAACCAAGCCTACTCTCGGAGTGACTCACAAATCATGTGACATGAGACATTTTCTAAACAAAAGAACCAACAAGTAGCACAATTAACATATAAAGAGCAAATTCAAAAATGTAAACTCAAAGCTGCTGAATTAGAGAATGTGGGAGCTGGAAGGGACTTTACAGATCACTTAGTCCAAAGGTCCCATATTATGAATCGAGAGTCATAAAACGGTTCAACTCTTGGACCCAGTGATTTCACTTCTGGAAACCTACCCTTAGGAAATAATCCCAAACATGGAGAATATTAAATGCATGCTATGTCTATGTTTAATATAGCAATATATTAATTGGCAAAAAAAAATGTCTGTGAAAGTAGCTGAATGTCCAAAAAGATGGGGAAGTTTAAATTATGGCATATCCAACTTAATTGAATATTGTTATTGTTTAGTCACTAAGACTCTTTTACAGCCCCATGAACTGTAGCCCAGTGACTCCTCTGTCCATGGAATTTTCTGGGCAAGAATACTGGAGTGGGTTGCCATATTCTGCTCCAGGGGATCTTCCTGACCCAGAATTGAACCCATGTCTCTTGCATTGGCAGATGGGATTCTTTTTTTTAATTTTTATTTATTTTTTAATTGTGGCAGGTGGATTCTTTACCATTGAGACACCAGGAAAGCCTCAACAGAATATTAGGAAGATATTAAAATGATAATTATGGAGAAATCTGTACACATGGCTATAACAGTAAGTGAAGGACACAGATCCAGAACAATATGCACCATATAACTATAAAAACATCCACTGTGGAAAACGACTACAAAGTCTTCCACATGGCAAATATGACAGTGTTCATGAGAAGGATGGGACTAAAGGTAACATCTCCACTTTTTGCAATGTTGACTTACTAAACTGTAAAAAGTACACATAGAAAACCCTAGCCAGTCCTTCTCTTATGAATGAACAATGCTGACCAAGCTCAGCTCAATGCTATCAATAGGTCAGATAATGTCAATACACGGAATTGGAAAAGCAGCTCTAAGAGTGGTTTCTCCTTTCTCTTATCTTCCCTCTTTCTCTCTTTCCCTTTCTTCTTCCTGTTTTGTTTTCATTTTAATGTTGATAGAAGCAGGTTTCAAAACTCGTCCCAGGTTCTGAATACTAACACTTGTGGGCAAGTAGGGCCCAGGATCTTGACAACTCTTGATGCAGGAAGCACAGAAACCCTGGAGGGGACTGGCTGCTTGACCGGGAGGGAGAAGGAGCCCATGCCTTTTGACCAGATGTATTGTCACCATGAGGAGGGTGAATGAGTTGTTGTTTTTCTGAACCTGTGACTCATCCAAGCAGCTCATAAAACCTTGCTATGCCAGACACCTGCTGGCCCACTCACTTCAGGTGGCTGGAAAAAGCTCCTGACTATCCTTGCTCACCTCACCCTTAGCTTTCTTCCCGGAGAGAGAGGGTTCACCTCCAGGCCTTGACAAACACCAATCCTCCTCCCAGAAGGACCGAGAACAGATTTTGGTGGAGGCTGCGTACCTTGCCTCCTGGGCTTGCACCTGCGCTGGTGGACAAACATGTCCAGCCTGATTCCAGGGTGTGACTAAAGGTTAACCACCACAAAGGGGCCCACAGAAACGAAACTCATTTGCTAGAATTGGAGGTATAGAGGTTGCAAAGACTTCCCTTGGGGGCTGGAGAGACACCATGCAGCTTGCTTCTTGACTAAGAAGTAAATGAATTCTTAAGCAGTGTTGTTTAGCACTTTTCCACCTCCTTAAGCTAGTAGAGGGCTCCATGAATCTAATTGACAAATGGAAAGTCAGATAACTTAACTCTGACTGATTTACAACATTTTAGATTTGCTGCAACCTGCAAGCCAGCTCCCTAATGAACAGAATGTAGTGGGAGGTTATCCCACCCAGTGCAGGGAGCTGCCCAAAGGTGCCATGCTTCCTTCCTTTCAGTTTGAAAGGCTAGGAAGCATCATGACACAATGGAAAGAATGCTGGAGGAGGAGTCAGGGGCTTGGGTTTAATCCCTACTCCACCTTAAATACCTGGGTAATCTTGGCTAAACCAACCTACTGGCAGACGAAGAGGAGAACAGAGGATGAGATGATTGAATGGCATCACCAACTTGATGGACATGAGTTTGAGCAAGCTTCAGGAGTCGGTGATGGAAGTCGGGAATTGGGAAGCCTGGTGTGCTGCAGTCCATAGGGTCGCAAAGAGTCAGACAAGACTGAGCAACTGAACTGAACTGACCTGCTGGGAGAACCTCTGGTATCTATAAATTGAGAGATTCTCATGCCTAGAGCCCTGCCACTGGTGTGGCTAGAGTGGCAGGCTGGGCTCATTCCAGGCTACCAGGAGAGAATGCTGTTGGCCTCCAGCCTTGGCAACTTTTAATCAGCCCACCTTGGAATCAGTTTTGTAGACAGGTTTCTTGGGCAAAGTGGCAAAATAATGCACATCATTAATAGCACACCCCTGGCAAACAGCACATACCAATAATTTATGTTTCGATTACTATATGTGGAATCTCACACCCCTTTTGGTGTTTGCATTTATATCTTTTCAAGCATGTGAAGAATCATGTGAATTACTTCTAAAGTTCTCAAACTCTTTAAAAAACAAAAACAAAATGATTCTCCTTTGTAGCCCTCCCTCCTAAACATCTCTCACATCAAACACAATAATCTCCAAGCTTTCCAAAGACTTTCTCCTCATCCCTTTCTGGTGTCTGCCAGGAATTTTCGAGTGAAACTGAAGGCTCAGGACAGTATGCAATGTACAGCTAGTGGGAGATTTACCTCTTTGCCCCCTTCTGTGAGTTGTTGTTTTTTTAACTGCTCCTGTGTGCCTCGTGCCTATTCTAATAAGCTCTCTCAAATCTTTTCATGTGTAGGGGTCAGTTAACTCTATCAGGGAAGACAGAACCAGGTGTCTCTCAGCTCTGAGAGTGCTTACCTTCTTGATCTGATCCTCCTTCAGCTTGGTGAAGTAAAACGCCATCAAGTGTACCGCAAACATTTTCTCCAAGTTTGGTTTCTCCTGAGGTGAGCGGAGGTTTCCGTGCAGGGTTACTCCCACGTCTCTGGAGAGCTGCCCACTTCCAGTCCAGCCTGGAGGCTTCCGGGGAACTAGGTGCTACAGATTAAATACTTGCGGGCTGCTTAGTTCAATGATTAAACTTCGCCCCCACTCTCTGGTCCCTCCCTCCGGCACACACACTAATAGGAGGCTCAGGGTGGTAGCTGAGGGCCGGTGGAGGGCAGGCAAGGGGTGGGTTGCGCGACTCTTTGAGAACTGGGTGTCACAAAATCTTGTTGCTAAGCAACATGCTCAAGCTAGTGCCCCACCAAGCCCACTCAGCCAAGGAAAATCTTCTGAGGAGTTGACCATTAAACAAAGCCAATTCCTAACTAGCCGAGCTGCTCTCTAAAAGTCTAGTCTCAGGCTTTTCCCTTTGGTCCTTTCTTCTCGACACAGGGACGTAACTCTTGGATCCCTGCTCTCCTAGAGCGCTATCTTAATTAAGACTAAGTATTGCCTTGGTCAGAAGATTTCAAGAATGTTGGGGCAAATTCCTTCATTTGTGACAGATCAAGATCTCTTAGCTAACAGCCTGTGGTAATGGAAAAAAAAATCAATAAAGGTTTATCTTTTCAGAATGGTAAGCCGGAAAACCTTGATTTCCCAGATAAGGACCTAGGGAAAAACTATCCATGAGAAGGAATGAAATCACTGTACTCATTGTACTCACTGTGCTATTGGCGAGAAAAATAGAAGTCACAAGCAGGAAATGTCTCAGGCCACTCGGATATTTGGTTCACGTATCTCACTCATCATACTTGATGTGAGAAGAGCCCATAAAGGATCCAATGTATGGGTACAACAGACCTTGCATTCTTCCTACCGTCATTGGTCAGCTAATAAAACCAACAACAACGTTAACAACAGTAGCTAACATGGATGGAACACTTACTATTTCCATTTTATAAATGTGAACACTGAGGCCCAGAAAGGTTAATTTACTCAAAATCACAAAGCTTGCAAACAGTACAATGAAGAATCAAATCCAGGAGTTTCATTTCATGGCCCAACTCTTAACCAATACATAACATTGCCTTTCTTCTTTTTCCATGTGATGGATAATTAATAGCTACTACTAGCAGCAGCATTCTGTTGGGTTATTGTCAAGAATTCCAACTACAGTTGACCCTTGAATAACACGGGGTTTGAACTGAATGGGTCCACTTATATGGGGATTTATCTCAACAGTAAATTCTACAGTACTCCATGATCCAGGGCTGGTTGAATCCTGCAGATGTGGAATCACAGATATGGGGGAACCACATACATGGTGGGCCGGCTGTTAGCTGTTAAATTTTAGACTGCATGGAAAGCCTGGTGCCCCTAACCTCTGAGTTGTTCAAGGGTCAACAGTACTTGGAAAACTAAACACAGAGGTATTACTACAACAGGATCTTCCCAGTGGCGGGAAATGACTAAATAAGGAAATTTCTGAACATAACGTCCCAAACACTAACCAAATGCTTCCTAAAATTAGCAGCTGACTGATGTTAAGGAGGGTCAGATGGGCACCCTGGTGTTTCTCTGCTCCCATAGGCACATGCTCTACAACACAAAAGGAAAACACTGTTTCCTGGTCAGCTCAACAGCTTCAGTTTTTTGCTTTTCAGCAGCATAATCTCATTAATCAAGACAATTTCCAGACAATTGCCAGGATAAGAACCTTCAACAGCTGCCTCTTCTGAAGGCACTGATTCTCCAATCAGTGCTCACTACCCCTCCATCCTGTGGATGAGCCACTAGAGGTCTAGCCTGAGCCCAGCACGCTCGATTATAACGACTCACGTGCTTTTCTCAGATTGGTATAAAACCCTCTCCCAGGTGGAGAAACACTGTCCTTTTCAGTGTGTGCCCCTCAGACTCTGAACGCTCTCAGCTCCTTGGTCATTCCTACGAGCAAAGGTTAATCTTCAGTTGTTGACATGACTCAACAGGTGGAATTGTTGGTTTCCTGAGACAGATCGTGTTGTCCCTGAGTCTACACTGGGTGAGGATAACATCCTGGGCAGGTCACCTGCCCACGAGGGATAACAGCATTGTCCTAATTCCTTCATTTAAAAAGTAACCTCTGAGATGCAGTGTGGCACCGAGGTCATCAATCTATTCAACATGGAGATAGGGGTTACGATGACTCGTGGAGAAAAGGACACAAAGCTATAACCAAAGATCTCTGCAATCTTGTGGTTGCTTCTATGTGCCAGATAGGCAGCCTCTGGAATTTTAATCAGGCAAAAGACACCAGAGGGTTTTCATCTGTTGCATCATTCCATTTTTTAAGCTGAGCACATTGGCATCTATTCATACATTCCAGGTCTGGAATTGGATGACTAAATCAAGGAGATTAATGACTAAAAAGATCATATGTATTTGGAGTCATCTAGCTCAGCCCTCTCAACTTATAAAGACCAAGTAATTAGATCATTTTGCCATCCTTCATCTGATTATTTCAGCACAACCACTGGAATTTTTCACCCTTATTAAAGCTCTGTGGGGGACTTCCCTGGCAGACCAGTGGTTAAGACTCTACACTGCCACTGCTGGGAGCACAGGTTTGGTCCCTGGTCAGGGAATTAAGATCTTGCATGCCACATGCCACAGCAAAATTAAAAAAAAAAAAAAAAAGCTCTATGTAGCTATTCAATGATATGCATGTCTTATAAGCACTTAGATTTTGCTTAAGAACACCATTTGAGGGTTGGCCAGCTAAGTGACCATGTTTTTCTCTTTGTTCAGTCACTAAGTCATGTGCGACTCTTTTGCAACCCCAAGGACTAGCCTGCCAGGCTACTCTGTCCATGGGATTTCCCAGGCAAGAACACTGGAGTGGGTTGCCATTTCCTTCTCCAGGGGATCTTCCTGACCCAGGTATCAAACCCATTGTTTCCTGCATTGGCAGGTGGATTCTTCATGGCTGAGTCACCAGGGAAACCAAGTAACATTTTAGTGAAAATGTATTATGTCTGGCCCAAACATTCCATGTAAGAAGGAACTCTGACATCTATACACACTTCTGTTTCCATAGAGCTGGCCCCTAGGGGAAGGCCTGAAGATAATATCTACTTTCCTTTAAGTACTGAGCATAGCAGAAAGATAAGAAATCCAGCAGAATTTACCTATTATTTAGGAAACATTTGTGTAATGTTTACTGGATGTTTTACAATATTAATTCCCATAACAACTATTATTCTCTTCTATTTTACAAATAAACAGGCAGAGAGCCCAAGTGGTATTACATGGAATAGATCTTTAAATGCAGGCAGTATGGCTTCAGGATCCATGCTCATCCACTGTCCTCCACTGGCTCTTGCTAACCTGGAAGCAAAAGTGAAAGAAAGTGAAAGTGAAGTCGCTCAGTTGTGTCCGACTCTTTGTGACCCCATGGACACCAGGCTCCTCTGTCCATGGATTTTCTAGGCAAGAGGACTGGAGTGTGTTGCTGTTTCCTTCTCCAGGGAATCTTCCCGACCCAGGGATCGAACCCAGGTCTCCAGCATCATAGAAAGATGCTTTACCATCTGAGCCACCAGGGGACCTGGAAGCAAAGCACAGAGGAAATAGGGAACCCAAGCTACGGAAACGAGCTCAGTGGAAAGTGCACAGGCCCTGGGTCCCCAGTTTGGCTCTGCCCTGTTTGAAGACAAAGGGTCCAAGTTTGTATTTGTAAAGTGTTCATTGTTCCCTCAGTGGTCATTTGGAGAATAAAAGTAAATGAGATCACATAAAAGAAGCCATGCATCCCACAGTGGGCATGCTAAAAGCACCTCTTTAAGCCTTCACCTAGCTAGGTACCCCTTCTTAAAATTGCTTTCATCTCATCCCATTAAAGCCCTTAGGATAAGAAAATACATGCAACCCTTTCAGTACATTTAGTAAAACATAACTACAAACCATGATATTACTTATTTATGGAATCCAAAATATAAATTAGTGAATAAAACAAAAAGGAAACAGACTCACAGATATGGAAGATAAACAAGTGATTATCTGAGGGGAGAGAGAATGGGGGAGACAAGATAGGAGTAGGGAGAGTAAGAAGTACAAACCATTATGTATGACATAAATGCAAATTTTTTAAAAAGTCTAAGGTGAAAGTTCTACGGCAGAGAATCCTAGAAAACAGTAAAGGATAATAAAGGTCTAGTGAAATCATTATTAAAAAAGAGAGAAAGAAATGAGCTATGAGGATATATTGTATAACATCGGGAATGCAGCTAATATTTTATAATAACTACAAGTGGAATGTAACCTTTTAAAAATTGTGACTCACTAGTTGTACACCTGAAACTTGTATATAATATTGTGCACCAATTATACCTCAATAATAAATATTAATAAATAACTTGAATAAACCTAAAAAATATTCCATAACCAAAACCACTAAAAGTTACCAGTTTTACTTATTGGAATTATAGAAACAATTAGTAATTTTATAACTATTATTCCTGTTACTACAGAAAACAGGTCTTGAATTCTGTCCTTGACTTTTTCTAACAATATGTACAAAGTTAAGATGTCCCTAATATAAGTCAGTCTGACCTGCTGGTATTCCACTTGCTGCCAAAGAACAAGAAAGAGAGTGTGTGAAAGAGCAAACTGCCGTAAAAGAAAGTCAGTGTAGAAGCTTCCGAACTGCCGGCAGTTGCAGTTACTGTGGTGTGTCCATGGGAGCAACCACAAATGAAGCTGAAATGTTAACTTCAGCAAGTTTCAAAAGAATACTACTGATAGTTTTGTTTTTTTTTACAGGTTAATTCCCGACCCAAGAGCATCCAGGGAACACCCGTGAAGAAATGAGCATGTATGTTAACTATAGTCCTTAAAAAAAAAATTAATAACACAGCTCTATGTACAGTTGCGATAAAAATAATAAACAGTTGATTTCTTTTTTATTAATTTTAAAAATAGATGCATATTATATAGATAAATGATACCTAAAT